GGTTCTTAATTAAAAAGATACTATACATGTTCCACAGACCTGTCTTTCAGCCTTCTCCCCATGACAAAATTCATACTTTACTTTAATCAAAGGCTGTCTATATAGCTACCGATAAAGATCTTAATCAAAATAATTCAGGCCAGAGTAACTTAACCATCTTTCATTAATTTCACATCAAAGCAATGTATATGATGACAGGTCAGAATAACTGATTATTCTGCTGAGGTTCAGAAATCCATTGACTCCCATTAAATGGCGTATATGAAAGCCCATACCCCTACAAATACACTACAAATACTGCCCAGATCTTCTTGTTCTGTGAAGCGGTCCAACACGAGAGTCAAGAGATACTAGGAGTGTAGTTAATGTTTCTGAAACGCAATTGCAAAGCAGCACGTCCAAAATCAGGAACAGTACTTCGGTCAAACATCCCACTGACTGTATCTGCTGGTTTTACCTGCCCCAGGTGAGCTGGCCTCAGTATTGCAGGAAGCCACCGTCAAGCTGATTGGCCACAACACCTGCAACAAGCTGTACGATGACGCTGTGACTCCCAGGATGCTGTGTGCTGGAAACTTGCACGGAGGGGTGGATGCATGCCAGGTGAAATTTGCCTGAACCCAGTGCGGGATGAATCGCTTTCCTGCTCGCCAGTCAATTAGATCAGATGAGTCGTGGCATTTTATCCCATTTGTTTCAGGCTTACTTATATAAAAAATGATCTATCTATGGCCCGCGTCAGCCTTTTGAGCTTGAGTCACAGCACTAGCTGACTATAATGGCTACTCCCCATGTGCCGCTGAGGCAGGCAGGGAATTGGTGGGGTTGATCTTCATGGCCTGCGGTGACTCTGTAGTGTCTCCAGTGAGAGGCGCGTCTGTGCGTCTGTGCGTCTGTGCGTCTGTGCGTCTGTGCGTCTCTCTCGAGACCCGCTGGAGTTTGCAGCTCGTGTGAAAGGCTGTGGAAGGCGAGCGTGTCTGCAGGCCCCTCTTCTCCCCACACAGTAGAGGAGTCTGCACCCCCAGCAGGGTCTAGCACAGGCGCGTGTGCGCATGCTTCAAGATGCACTGAAAAGTTTGGAAATTTTCTCTACACGGATCCCGCAAGATGCGTTTAGTGCACGTTCTTGTAGAAGATCCTTGTAGGGAATCGGCTCTTGGGCCCTGACCTTGTGCCACCCTGCTGGTTTGTGCCGTAGGGAGACTCTGGCGGGCCCCTGGTGTGCCTGGAGAAAGGGCGGAAGTGGTTCCTGGCTGGGATCGTCAGCTGGGGCGAAGGATGCGCCCGGCGGAATCGGCCAGGCGTCTACACGCAAGTGGTCAAGTTTTCCGACTGGATCCGGAAAGTGATCAACTGAGCGCCAAGCGCCGACCGCCAAATGGAGAGCAGCAGGGTTCTCTGTCTAGCTGTTGTCTTGACGTTTGCGTGGATTTCTGCCGCTAGGCTATTCGTCCTGCCCCAGACGAACCCCCGGCGCTCGTGAGCGAGGACATGGCAGGGCCTCCTCCGCTGGCCGTGTGCTGTCCTGGACTCCCGGCGCGCTGGGCGACAGGAACGCCATGCTCTGCCAGCGACGGGTTACGTTAACCCGGCAGGGCTGCGCAGAGCCGACGGCCACAGGCCCAGGCTGCGAGCTCTTCTGCCATTGGCCACTCCACCCCCTCCAGACAGTCAAACGAACCTGATGAGCGGGCATCAGGCAATTTCTCTGATTGTACTTGAGCTCGTTTTTGGTGCGATCCCCTTCTGCCGAGTGACCCAGAACACTCATTGGTGGATCTTTCCTCCTGCATCCCTTTCGACCACAGAGACCTTTTATCTGTGCCAGCCGAGCCTTCTTGAGACTTGTATCCTGAAGTTCATTTGTAGAATTCTGCAGTACTTCATTTGATAGCACGTACCTCTGATATCCCTTTGTTTTTGCAGTGTGGGAAGTTAAAAGTGAAAAGCGAGCAAAGGATTTCTAAGTTCCTCAGATGAGTAACGTTAATGAAATGTGTTGGAACTGATGCATTTCTACTGCTGCTAGTAATCCTTTGCTGGCCTGTAATACCACTGCACTCTGTACAAGGTTATATTGATATGAAGCACATTAAACTCAATATTTAAATTAGAGAATCTAGTTTGTCCTAATTTACTTGATACACTGTGTTCACAGAATGAGATTTACTGCCTATAAATATTGCATTTATAGGAGGAATGTTATGCATCAGTCATCATTTTTTAGTATGTTAATGACAATAAAAAACTGCTAACTATAGAGTTGCGATCTGTTTTTTCTTCTTCAAAGTGTTTGAAGAACGCCTGATCTTTTTTTATTGTAATAATGTGTTTTTTGGAGTGTGTGGGTGGTCGTTAACTTTTAAATGCCTCGGAAATTAGTCAAAGGGGAACTCTTGTAGACTTCAGACACTGTTGAGGTATAATTTAAAAATGCACATCTCTTAACTATGAGCTCACCGAGGATTTATCAAATTACGTAATAATGTTACCCTTTACTGCTTTCAGTAAGGTTACAGATCGATTTGTATGTTTTTGAGCTCTGATAAGAATGTATAGTGTGTTTTAAAGTGAACTGCAAGCTGTAGCTACAAGCAACATGTTTAGGTGCAGTGTTTCCAGTTCTTCTTCTGGGAAATTTCTAAAGCAGCTCAGTTGTAAATGCGTTAGTGAAAGGGTTACCGATAACGCAGATGAGAGCGAGTATTTGCTTCAGACCTTCCGGATGAAGAAAAAAAAAAGTTATGAATTTCAGTTCCGAAGACAACAGAAAGATGTCTCCCTCGCCCTTGCTAGCCGACGAGGTGGCGGGAGGTGCCGAGCTGCGACGATGCGCCGCGGCACCTGTATGTCGCGAAGTTTTGCCAGATTGAAGACGGTGAGAAAAGTGGATGTAGTTCGTCTTTGCAACGCGGAGTATATTAGGACGCCCTTAGCGCTGTGTTTCATATTCTTTATTAAAAAAAAAATACTGTAAGGTCTTGAGCAGCGGGTCGAGATGGATGAAGAAAGGTTTGAATCGGGCTGTGCGCACTTCTGTCGCACATTTCAGAAGAGCGGAGGAGATGTCGCTGGCCGTGTAAGTTAGTGCATATATGCGTATACAATGCTTATTGTTCAAAATACTCGGTGGTTTTAATTTAAAAAGCTTTAAAATATCGTCCACAAGACTTTGCGGTCAGCTGGAAATACGCTGCGTTTATTTTGTGATCCTTTTTAAAAGTGTATTGTATTTGAGCCAACAAAATATAATGTCACGCTTAATAATTTATCTAAGTTTTCGTGACCTGTACTTAGATATAAAAAGTTTTGACCACTAAATAGCTACTAATGCTTCCGCGTTCATTCTGCTTGCGATAATGATATCCGAGGTGGTTTTGTCTTTGAGTCGGTTTTCGGTGATCGAAATGTTTAAAACCCCTCCCCAAAAAAAATAAGAACAAATGATTCCCCAGGAGTACTATTCCAAATTATTATTACGTGTTCTATTAGATGATAATAATACAATCAGTTTTCCCCCGTAGTACGTTACTGACCTTTACGGAAACAGAATTCTACAAGATTATGCAAGAAGACCAGCTTTTTGTTCGCTGACAGCGCGTTGTGTGACTGGCGGGTGAGGCTGTTGCCCGCTGTGTTTCCACAGAGCTCTTCTACCGTGTGGCCCCGCTCCGGCCCCGGAGCTCAGCAGGTGCTGGCTTGGTACCCGGGAGCTGCTGAGAAAAAGACAAGCCAGGGCGCAAATATGGCCCCTTCCTCTTTCCCAGTGGCCACAGACTCGCCCCGGGGTCCCGAGAAGCCTTCCTTGTTCTTGTGCGTGAGCCTGGCGGCGGGTCTTGCTCTGCTGGCGTTCTGCGGGACTGCGGCTGTCACCTGGTTCCTTATGCGTATGTACAGCACCTACAGCAGCTTGTGCTGCAGGATTTATGTTTGAAATGGGCTAAATGCACGACTGAGGTAGTGAAGATACGGGATAAGCCAAAGCCAAAGAGAATAGGTTTGTCTTCAGTTAGGAATTAGGCCAGATGTAGATGAAGTAGCATCTGAAGTGCTTTAGGTCTTTTTGGCGCCGCAGTGACAAACAGGCTACAGGTTTACAAATCTCACAGGTCCGCGTGTTGATCATAATCCTACAGGCTTCTGTCTAGCATTGCATGGCACTCTTCGGACATCTGAGGCCTGCCGAGAGCAGCCCTGCAATTCATTGATTTGAACACTGAGGAGCTTCCTTTATGTTCTGCTATCTGTTATGAACCTACAGGCCATGGGTTTTTACCCTGTGAGAGTGGTAAATGTTTCCTAACGGCTGTAAGAGCTACACCCTTTGTGAAATCTCTTTTGCTCAGTTTGCTCTTTCTTCTCACATAGCTGCGCATCCAGCTGAGAGGATGTATTTTGGTGGTTCGTTGCGCCTGATCAATGCTACTTATACTTTAGCACTGACAGATAAAAAATCTCAAGATTTTGGGCTTCTGGCACAGACACTTCAGCAATGGGTGAGTATCTAATATGTGCATTTAATGTCAGGCTATTGTGAGCCTGTTGAAGTATATGTGAATGGTTACATATATGAAAGTAATTGTAGTTTAACTCATTAAAAGTGATAATTGTTTCTTTTGAAAATATTATTATTAATATTAATATTAATAATTATATTTGTTTTTTAGCCCTTTCATTTGACTTTGCAACAAACTGAAATGCTCTCTTCATGTTCTTGTCCCTTCAAGATAAACAATACCTTCTTTCATCCTGAACCCCTGTGGCATTTCATCTGTGCTAATGTAACATCTTTCAGGTGAGGCCCTGATCTAGGACACATTCTTTGTAGAGAATTCTCTTTCCGTTGGCTGGTCATCACAGTGAAGATGAAGCATGTGGACCGTGCAGTGTAGGAGAACTAATCAAGCTTTCTCTCTCTGCAGTGAAGGCAGTATTGTTGCCCATTTTCTCCTCACTCTGGAGATGGACAGCCAGGGTGCACAGAACGCAGCAGGGGGAGAGATTGCAGCTCAAGTCACCAATCACATCAGGGGGATATTGTCACATGAAACCCTTCTCTTGACACCTTCTCTAGAACACTACCTGCTAGATCCAGCATCTGTCTCAGTTTATGGTGATTCATTCTGTATTATTGTTAACAACAGTAGTAAAAGTACACTGTTAGAATATTGTCTTTACGCAGTGTGTGTGTACAGTATGTACAGTATGACTAAGGAGAGGATGTAGAGATTTTTCTCATTTAATTAACATTTGACTTGCTGTCTCCTTTGTCTCCAGAGTCTAGTCTTGAGGAACACGTGCTGTCTTCACTGGAAGGTGAGCCTCTGGATGTCTTGCATGCCTTTGGGATCCATTTTGGCAGCTGTGGTGCAGAGAGTGGCCTGGAGCTCTGTTGCTTTTGCTATTGATTATCTTGAACATCACAGAAGATGGAAACCCCTTGGATGCTGTTATGATAGAAAACGATTTTACATAAGGCGTTTGTAGTCAGTTAACACGGGGTTTAAACACTGATGCAGAAGTGTGTCATGAGCACGACTGTAAAGGGAAACCTTGCACCTGTGTTGTTGGCAAACGGTAGATCTCTCACCATTGCGATTATCACTGTATTTCAGACTGTGGTTCTGGGGGTCTTGAACTCCAATGGAGGGGCTCTGCACCCTGTCTCTGGGAACTCAGGGCACCTCTGGGCCAGCTGGTCAGACTCACCGTGCACAGCTGCACCATGGAAGGAGACTGCCGCACAAACTTCATTGCAGTGTATGACTCCTTAGCAGCAGGGAGAGCGCAGCTGGTCACCAGGTGAAGATCAGTCTCTGGGGAGCTGAAGCCTTGTGCTTCAGGTCATTTTGCTCATAAGCAAAATCATCAGTGATGAAATTAACACTAGACTCAAACAGCAAGCATAGAGCTGATATAGAGCATACCCCACTCAGAGATCAGCCCCTTGGATTTTGCCTTGTCAAGTGGGAATTACGTTTACCAACTGTTTGAATCCTGAAGAAGGGATTTTTCAAAGGTTTCATGATTTTCAATCATTGTAATATGTCATAAGTTAACAAGTAACCGGTGTTGTAGCTTAATGAGGCCTATTTTATTCTAGTGTAGCCTGAGCCTGGGCTTGATCTTATTAATACTTATTTCTTATTATCCTAGAGTTGTGTTTTCCATCACCAAAGGAATTGTTTTTTCATGATTTTTGTAATTGATTTTTCAGATAATTCCAGTGATCATTAACCACCTAAATGTAATTACGCTTTTTCGATTGACAGCAAGACAGAAATAGTGAGTACTGGAAAAGGGAACTGGAAAGGTTCTGAAAGAAAACCCTCTGAAACTGATATCTGTGCCTTCTGCTGTACCGAACAGGCTGTGCCCGGGGTTTCAGTATCGCCCCCTGCAGGCGGTTAGTGTTGTCTCATCTGGCAACGTCATGCTGGTGGTGCTACAGTCTCATTCCCAGCTTGGGCACTCCAGTGAATTGGTGGCTTCAGCACAGTTCCTGGATGATGCCCGTAAGTTCTTCTCTGCATGATTGATATTATTGTGAATCTGGGGATAACAAATGTAGGTGAGATGACATCACTAGTTTCCCTTTCCGTCTCTCCCCCCCCCAGAGATTTCCTGCCCATCTAACGCCTTCCAGTGCAAAAACAAGCAGTGCATCTCCAAACCCAATGCCACCTGCGATGACATCGTGGACTGTCTGGATTCCAGCGATGAAGTGGGCTGCGGTAAGTCACTGGGGGACACAGTCCAACCAGCTGTGAAAAATGAAGGGACACCTGAGGAGGAGACAGGACTCTGTCTTCTCCCAGAGTCATGTGAAACCACTTTGAGCACAAGTTCTTCAGGTATCGCATTTATGGAACAGATGGCCTGCTCCTCCTTGTAACTTAACGCAAAACGACACACAGAAATTGAAAAAAGAAATTGTGTTCTACTTTAGCAGCATGAGTTATATAAAAGATATCTTTCCACGGGGTGCTCAGTTAAACAGATATTTCTAACAGAGGAGTATCCTGTTTCTGGGATCTTCAATAGCATGATTAAACTCGTACAGTGAACTTAAGAATGGATATCATTATAGCTCTGTCAGCATTTGACGTACTGTGTCTTCAGGATGAGAGTTTAAAACATATCCTCGCTGGCGTAGGTTTTCAGCAAGTAGTTCTGAGTGATTATCCATGCCCTGCTGTGAAGTTGTAGCCTCTTTTCCAGTGTTTTAACAGCAGAACTGTCTGATTTGAAGCTAAACGTTTCATTTTGTTTACCACTTTATAACCTTTACAAGAGTGATGCTGTGTTGTGCTCCAGGAGTGACTGTGAGCATCAGTATTACTCTGGACTGCTGGCTTGAACTTCAGTATACACAAAGATATTCAGCCAAACCCTTCATTAATCTTATGCAGATGATGACTATATGCAGAAATAGCTCAATTCTAACAAAACGTTTGTGAAAGATGAAAAGGAAAATTCCATGTTAAACTAATTGACAGTAACGCGTATTGGATTCAAGCACATTGAATAGTTTTAATTCATTGCAATCATATTTAAATAAACTCCCCTGACAACGACATATTTTTGTAATATACATATTATTTAATGAGCACTTATTAACTGTAGCAAGCAGTACTTGAGATGTTGTAATTGATAAATATAAAATAAGGGTAAAAGCAACTCTAAAGATTTTCTTGTTATAGTATAAATGTCTTCATGTCACACATGTGCCTGCTTTATTAGAATTGCCCTTCATTATGCATTCCTATCGCTCTGTGCTAGGAATCAGACTGTCTATATTCTGTTTTCTTTTTACCTTTTAATGACAGAGGCATACATTTTGTAGCAGATTTATTTTTTACATCAACGGATTTTGCCCTGAAAACTCCCCTCAGGCCAAAAACGTCACGCACCCCAGCACCTGTGGAATGTCATGCTTTCTACTATTAGCTTCAAGCCCGCCTTGATGGCGTTAATATAATTTCTGTATCAAAACAGACTACAGCAGACTTCATATGCACAGGTTTTGAAGGGGAGCTGAGCTCAGCAGGCTCTCTTGATAAGCATCGCCAGCTATTCCAGGGAAGGGCTGACCCATCTGACAAAGGAACTGTGTTCTGATTGAGCTTCCTGCTCCGCCGTTCATAATATTGAAGTTTTCATCATGCGAACTTGACAGAGGCCCGCTTCTACAGGGCCGCGCACAATGGCTGTTTTGTGCAGCCGAGTAATGGAAGTCAAAACCTAATCCTTGGCTGCTCTGGGTCTTAATTGCTCGGGACTGTAAACACAGACAAAATATAACTTTTCCCAGAAGGCAGCGAGACAGGCATGTGCGGTTATGCGGGAATGAAAGAAAGGGCCGCTGGGCGCGATGGAGCGCTGAGGGCCTGCGGCTCTCTCTCCCCCTCTCTCCCCTGCAGACTGCGGGGTGCGGCCGGGCCTGCGCGGCCGCGTGGTGGGCGGGCAGGGGGCGCGGCCCGGGGAGTGGCCCTGGCAGGCCAGCCTCCACTTCCACCGGCGAGGACACGTCTGCGGGGCGGCGGTCGTGGGCGGGCGCTGGCTCCTGTCCGCCGCCCACTGCTTCCAGGACTCCGCTGCCCTCAGGTGTGCCGCGCCGAAAAACATGGCAGGAAGCGTCCATATGTCACAATCAATGACAGTGATTCCGGTTTATTAACAGGGTCCCAGCAGTGTCCTGACAACAAACAGGGGAGCAGGAGGAGAGTTGTCCTCAGTAGAAAACCATGCTCTGTAATGTAATGATAATGTAATGTTTCTTTATTAGCCCTATACAATTTCTTGCATTAGGAATTCATCTTTTCGCATACCCCAGCTTTTCTCCATGGAGACACAGACACACAGACGGGGAGAGAAGCTGGGGGTCAGAGCACAGGGTCTGCCATTTTACGGCGCCCCTGGAGCAGTTAGGGTTAAGGGCCTTGCTCAGGGGCCCAACGGAGTAGGATTCCTCTGCCGGCTGCAGGATTTGAACTGGCAACCCTCCAGTCACAGGCGCAGGTCCTGAGCCACAGAGCCACCGCTCCGCCCCCTACCTGTGCTGAGCCTACCTGTGTCCTGTGTCCCCAGGTTCTCCAGTCCCTGGCTGTGGACGGCGCTCCTGGGCTCTTGCTCCAGGCAGGGGGGGGGCAGGGGCTCTGTCACGCACGGCGGTCAAGCGCATCCTAACTCACGGCCGGTACGACGCGTCCTCGCTGGACTACGACCTCGCCTTGCTGGAGCTGGCCACGCCGCTGGAGTACAGCGGGACCGTCCGGGCCGTGTGCCTGCCCCCCGCAGCCCACCCGTTCTCTGTGGGGCAGAGCTGCTTCGTCACTGGCTGGGGTTTGCTGGAGGAAGACGGTAGGTGGCCTCCCGTTGGCGAGTCGCCCCATCCGATTTCTAACCTCTGCTTCCACTTCAGATTCGCGGGGGAGACGATCCCGGCTCGCAGTGGGCTCAAGGCAGACACACCCTGGACAAGGGCAGACACTCACACCAGAAGCCAATTAACTTACCGATATGTTTGTGGACTGTGGGAGGAAACTCGCGTGAACCTGGGGGAGAACATGCAAACTCCACACTGACAGCACTCCAGGTCCGGAATTGGACCCAGGACCCCAGTGCTGTGAGGCAGCAGGGCTGACCACTGCACCACTGTGCTGTCTTGAGAGTGCACTTAGGTTATGAAAATACATAAAAGCAGGAAAGAAGTACCAAGCATTCATTTATTAAGAAGTTAAGAATATAATCCATAATTTCGTACTTTTTTTCCCCTGGGGGGGTCTAGTGACTCCATTGGACTGGAAAGTGTGTTGGACGTTATGTCAAGGGAAGATGTCTTTAACCGAGACACCTCTGTGTTGGCCCCTTGCCCATGTCAGGCTTAGTGACCAATGTCAGTGAGAAAGTTCAGTCTGAAAACTGAATCAACCCCATTGCTAAGTGTCAAGAAACACCAGCGCCAACAAGTCAATGTGAAGTTATGGGAATATAAATGCTTTTTCTTTGCGTCCACTGTCATCGAAAACGGAAACGTGTGTGCCGTTTGGGACTTTTACGAGTTTTCTTTCTTTCTGTAGGATCGCTTTCCCTAATGCTTCAAAAGGCAGAGGTACAGATCATTAACCAGACAGTGTGTAACAAATACCTGGGGAACTCCCTGACAGCCCGAATGCTGTGTGCTGGATACCTGACTGGGAGAGTTGATGCCTGCCAGGTAGGAAACAGTTGTGCTGTTGAATGAGCTGCTTTGTGCCTGTCCTTAAAGGCAGTGGATTGATGTTACCAGTGATTAGAATCCCAAATTCATCAGGTCTCCTGCCACAAAAGGAATAGGATCAGTGTCATGTTTCCATGCCTACAGTGGTGACGCATGTAAAAGAATTAAGCTTTGTCTTTTTTACGGCTCTTAACTCTCATCCTCTCACTTTGTTTTTGTGCTTTTAGTCGAGCGTTTCTAGGCCCTGTATACATTATGAATGTATTATTATGTTCCCTGTGTCTTTAGCAGGCATTGAGAGCTCTATTTACTAATGGCAATCTTAACTGCACTTCACTTCATCAGCACACCACACCTGTTACTGATTAAACAAAGCAAGTTTAGGTCTAGGAGCATGACTGCACTGAAGTACTATCAAAACAGCATTTGTCTTCAGGCTGGTGGTTTTGGTTAAAAGCCACAAATGTATTTGAGTTCTGTTAATGCTGATGTTACACCATGTTTGTTGTACAACGTGTGGTGTCAAGAATAACACATCACACACACACACACACACACACACACACACACACACACACACACACACACACACACACACTGTGTCATTCATTCATTGACTAACCCTTGTAGTCAAGGATAACTATCTTCCAGGAAAAGGCAATGGACAAGGAAAATTTCAGTGGGAATACGATCACTCCCGCTGCTCTGTGGATTTTCATGTCTGTGATCATCATCTTCTTAAGTGTTGAAAGACTTCCAAGCTTTCAATTCCAAATTGAAGAGATCTTCAGGTGCTCCTTTTAATCACTGAACTGCCTCCCTTTCCTGAACTCGGGGTTGCCCTGTCTTAGTCTCATAGACTAAGAAAGATAGAGTCTGGTCCTTGATTACCTGGACCATTAACAGTCCTTGTACCAGTAAACAAACCTCACATATAATTTCTCTCTGAAAGATATTGAATCTCTTTTTACCTTGTCTGTCCATTCTTCATGTCACAGGCTCTCCTTTGACCTCTTTGGTCTGACTCCTGCTGCCAGGAGGTTTGGTCCCTCCACCATACACAGAACACTTAGCTCTTGCGATCAATAAATTAATCCGTCACCTGGTCATTTCTGTTAATCCGACCCTGGTGTTTCCTCGTATAGCAATCAAGGGCTGTTTTGCAGAGACCAGTGATACAGTATGTGTGTTGGGGTCTTCCCACGTGCTACCCCAAAAGGGGTGAGCAGGTTTTAACTTAAGAAGGAAGGTGCAGTCCCAGATACAGTCACCAAAATGCACCTCTGCCTCAACTCACGTGCTTGAAGATCCTTTTCGATTTGCCTCGCCCATGCCAGAACCTAGCTAGAGCTTCCAGCCATCACTGTCACGCTCCTGTTGCAGTTGGCAGGTCATCCAGGGATGTAGAGAGTGTTGTGGGGATGAAGCACTCTTGTGTGTGACACTGTGGATTGTGGAGAAACTGGGACACCCCAGCTTGCACCCATATCTTGACAGATTGGGTGGTCTCAAGCTGCTGCAGCCTTTGTCTGCCGGAACAGACGTTGAGATATCCCAGAGGGGGTGCATCTCCTTCTGACTCTCCCGCTCTTGAGGAACGTGGTGGCCAGAGCCCCATTTGCCGAGTGTGGAAGATGCAGGAATCCTAACAGACCTGCCCAGTAACCAGATTGGCTCCAGGACTGAAGGAGCCCATCTGTGCTCCACCCCGTGTAGACGCTGCCCCTGTGTTACCGATTTCCCAGGGTCCACACTGAGGACATGGGCTGTGGACTCTGGCACCCTCATACATCATAGGAGGAGACGATGTTAAATAAAGTGCTTTCCGAGCAGTTAGAATGCCTGTCAGAACACCTATTTTGGGGGATAGCTTTTGGGAAGAGGTTTGTGGATATACGTTCCCATGTGCGATTGTGATTGCAGGGAGATTCGGGGGGTCCCCTGGTGTGCCAGGCACTGACGGGCCAGTGGTTCCTGGCCGGGGTGGTGAGCTGGGGAGAAGGCTGTGGCCGCTGGCATCGACCGGGAGTCTACGCCCGCCTGACGGAATTCCGGGACTGGATCCAGGAACAGATGGAATCTTAGCTTCGTGTGGCACCAGAGTGACTGACGTCCACTGCCCCCACCCCCCCAGCAGAATATCTCCACTGCGGCAGGAGAAAAAAAGATCACCGCTGCCTGCATTTCAGACAGCCACTCGGCCCCACTTAGACAAGGGCTGTTCGAAAGGCCCGCGGCTCCGAGCTACAGGGCCGCCGCTTCGGAAAGAGCTGCCATCCGGCTCCTGACTGCCGCCTTGTGCTCTGTGGGAGGGCACCTGGAAAGATGGCCCCGTAGTGTTAAAATAAAGAGCTCCTGTTTTTCCATATGATTAAAGAAAAATAAAGTATTGTGAGGTTTAAGTGTAAATGTCACAGTATGTGTTCGGGAGAGTTTGCAAGTGGCTCAAAGACGGAACATATGAACATATGTACAGTTACTATTTGGCCTCATTTGATAGTTTAGTAGTTAATTGATTCAAGGAGCCATTTCTTGAAAGAAGGCACGGTATCGACTGCAACAACAAGGCTGGGTATCTTGTTCCTCACTCCCACAGATGGGAGTACAAAGGGAAAGCAACATGCTGTTTGTGGAAGACCTTTACGATATGACGCACTAAATATGTAATCTTTTAAAGATTTAAATGGACATTTTATTTTTTTGTATGTTGATAAAAAAGGTTTTGTTACTAAAAAGAACAAAAACTAAAGTGTTCACTGCCTGTTAGCGATACTTTATGACACAGTGGGATCATGTTGTACAATGTAGCATTACAACTGTTTCACAGTTATGAAACTCTGAATGAATATAATTTTTACAATTATTCAAAATTATTATTCATATCCAAAATGTTTTAAGCATGTTAAAAATTCCTGAGAAGTTATTCTTGAATTTGACACCAAAACTTCATTTCCTAGCAAGATCTAGTATTCTTTGGTCGCACAATTGTTTTTTTCTTTAGGTGGGAATAGAGTGCTGATAACACTGGAAGAATAGGATTAGAGCAATGTCTCATACCTGAGACATCATCCATCATATTAACATATCTGATTTGGATGTACTTCCACTTTGAATGTCCAACATTGGGATACTTTTTGCTGCACTCAGACCTGTAGGAATGCTGTACTCCTTTAGCATGAACTGAAGCAGATGGACCTGGAAGACACCACCCAATTGTTAAAATTTAAATTCAGGTGCAGTTGTCTTTTTAAGAGCAAGCAAAATACGAATTAAACATTACAAGTACAATATCCCTGAACTCCATCTGTCCTATTACTCAAGTCTGGCAGGATAAAAAAAACAACAACAACAACAACAACAACAACTATTCTTTCTAATCGCTACCTGTTAGGACTTGAAAGAATCAAATCGCTTTCTTCAGCCGTCTTCTCTTCGTTTCTCTGCGGCCGCCCTGACCTCCGAGACCTGCGGTTGTTCGGCCCCGCTGAGCTCCTGCTCTTTCCGGTCGTGGATTAGGGAACCTTTAAGAACTGCGGGGCCCGTAGCAGCAAGGTGCTGTGCACACATAAATCACCCTTCCTGCAGCGATCGTTTGGTTGATCACCACTACTTGGAAACCTGGTTTGCATACAGTCCTTATCTGTGGTGCTACATTTTCCTGGAATTATTTGGGGTTTGAATTCTCTGAAGTGTGAGCCTAATGTCATTTATTCTTGTATTCCTGGGCAGAAAGCTGATAACAGGATGCTGAACGCTAGATGGCAGTGTTGTATTGCACTGTGAGAATCGTCCTAGCGAGGAGGAAAGCCCCTGTATGAACGCTTGTTCCGCCCAGGCCGATAAAAGGTGTCGTGTCTCCCAGCATCAAATACAGGATCAATTAATCATTACCATCCTGATCATTATCCCCGCTAATAGTCACCCGGGCCCACTCCTGCCTTTCAAACAAAACAAGTATTTTTCTCCGCGTTGTCTTTTTTTGGAGCGACGCGCACTGCAGGAGTCACTGCGCGTCTTCGCTTGAGAGACGGATCAACACGCAGCCGCGGCACAGCCCCGGGGCTCGAAATCCCCAGCGCCCAGCCAGAGGAGGAACAGGAAAAGGAGGCGCAAGGAATCTCCAGTCAGGAAAGCCTCATTGATCCCATCCTCATCCCCATTAGACCTTGATGAATGATGATTCTTTTCCTTTGACAATCAGGGACAAAGGAACTACTTATTGTGCAAAGGGGATACAACTGCATGACAAATGGGACGGATTCTGGAAAAGGGCCCTGCAGCTCTCCCTCCTCTGGATGACACCACGGCGCGGTTTCAAAACAAGCTCGGAGCCCCGAGGTGTGACCCGGGCAGCGCGAGTTAATAGGCGGGTCAACGATCTGACTGATGGATCCCCGGCCTGCAAGGCTTAGAGCAGACTTTGCTCACAAAACAAACAACTGCAGCAAGGCTTTGAAACCCGCAGTGGACTAGGAATCAAAGAGGTAAACGGTGCTTTTGTTTGTTGCTTTTTTTAAAAAAAAACATTGCTTGGCAAATCAATACACCCTGCAACAAACCCCAGGATGAATGAGATTATACATGGTACAAGACTCTCATGAACTGCTCCATGCTCCTACATGAGTTTCTACTGCATACAGATCTGCAGATGTATCTTCCATAATGGGAAGCCAATATCTGCCTTGTGTATGTACACATTCACTCCAGCCCTACTCACAAACTCGCTTCACTACTGCAATGTCTGTTCCAGTTTCAACTTCATCAGAAAAACAGGATGCTTGGAAGCCCAATCAATAATTGCAACACCTTTTCGTGGAATTGCAAAGTAAAGAAAAAGGTGCTGTGAATCCTATAAACATTTGTACACTTGGCAAACAAACCTTTTGGTTCTGCTATAGAATGCTATAGAGAGCTCATTCATACAAAGGGTGACAAGTAATTATAGACCAGTGCATCTTCTACATGTAAGGTCATGGTAATACATAATAATAGGAAATAAACTTCAAAATCTCCCATATGGCAAAAGGATTTTAGGAAATGGGTTTACAAATTGCAAGTATTTGAAAGTGAATTATTTGAATCACCAGGAACGGTTATAAAAAACTGCATATGATATGGTATGTTCAAACAAAAGCTTTTGATGTTTTCTCATAAAAAGATTGATTCCTAACTGCAGGCAGAAAATGTTCAAGGTAATGTGCGCCTTTGGATTAAGAACTGATTAATGGATAGAAAACAGTACAGATAAGGGATGAATACTCACATTGGAGGTAATCTAATTAGTGGAGTACCACAGAGATCTGTGCTGGGACCACTGCTCAAATTTTAGATCAGTGATCTAGATTCTGCTGTAGTTAGTAAACTAGGTGGGTCAGAAAACACTGTAGATATTGCTAAGGAAATTCCAAAATACTTAAACTAAATACTGGGTAAACACCTGGAAGATGTATACAAATGCAAAGTGTTGCTTACAGGTAGCAGAAACATAGAGTAGGTTATAGATATTGTAAACACTGAGCCACTGTAAAAGAAGCTGTCTGTGAAAAATATCATTTTTGCAAATTTAGTCATCACATTACTAAAAAAGATTGAAGATATTGGTGCTCTGGAATCATTCCAGAGAAGAGCAGTAAGACATTCCATGGTTTTAAAGGAATGTCTTGGAGTGACAGACTAAAACAACTAAATATAGTCATGAACTGGAGAAGACTCCTGAGGGACCTAACTCAATTATTCTAAACCCTCAAAGACATTGAGAAAGTTAGCCCGCTGGATTTATTCAGAATCAACAGTGAAACACAATCCAGAAAGAAAACACAAATTGATACTAAGGGAATGTGTGTTTCTGAGACCTAGAGGCATTTTTTACACAACGGGCAGTGGCAGTATGAAACAAACTCACCTGTTCAGAGAAGAAGCTGAAACTCTGGCTTCCTACAAGAAAAGGCTGGAGGAGATTCTTGGATTTTTTAATAGAAACAAAATGAACCGGATTACCCAGATTACATCTTCTCATTTTTAACTGTTCCTAGATTCATGTTTGACAAAAAAAATATTTTGATAATTAGCCAATATTAAGCTTTAATAATCAATCCAATTTAGAACTCCTAGTTTTCTGGCTCACCTCCCCCGTCAAGTACTGGTTTAATAAAGTCTGATGGGCAGAGGAAGGGATGTTTTAATTTGTTTAGTACAAATAAGATGCTTGAGCACATGAGTTCATTAGACCAAGAGCCAATCTTCATTGACTGGATGGCTTTTTGTCTTAACCTGTAACCTGCTGCACATACGTTTCAATTACTCAAGCATAAATGCAGAGATGGATGGAACAGCTCTTCAGGCATTCCGTTTTTATTGGTCATGGAAGGTCCTCAGACCATCAGAACGTTTGGGTCTTCCCTGAGCTACGCAATTGTAGTATTCTTCAGTTTAATAAAATTGATTTACTGTATTAAGTTTGTACACAAAAACCTGCATTACCATAGACGGATTTCTGTCCAGCTGTGTTAAACAGGGATTAATGCTGTACGTGTCGCTAGTCAAAACAGACTGTTTACCCAATCACAGCACCTTGCTATTAAAAGCACTCTTGGGCACCTGTCCCCAGGATATCATTGTTAGAAACACAATGGAGCAACTTTAGTCTCCTTGGCATCAAATTGTGTATAATACAGGAAGAAGCGTTTCCCTGTTGGGAGCCACAAAGTTTAGTGTGAATGAACTGCCTTCCTTCAAAACTGGAAGGTGAATGACAACCCCCCCCCCCACTCTCCAAACTCTGAATCTTTTTAACAGGCTTCATTTTTTCTCAATAAAAATCACTATCCCAATATGAATCAATAACATACGAGCCGCGCTTATGGAAATCCTTCACTGGCATTCTAAGAGATCACTCAGTTTTTATTGTTGGGATCAAAGCAGTGATATTTATGAAGGTATCCGTGAATCAATCGACTATAATACATTTCTTCTTAATTGATCTATTGAAGAAGTAATATGAGAAAACATCATGAATTGTTGGTCCATAGCATAAGAACCTTAATTCCCAAAATTGCTTTGAATGCTCTTCTGGGACCTGGTGTTTGACCTTGTCTGTAACCTCAGGAAGTGTAGGATACAACTACATGAGAATTCGACTTAGCGGATAACAGGACTATCGCATGACACCATTTGTTGGCTATGGGCCAAAACAAAAGCCAAAAACCACGGCTCCACTCTCTATATCACCTAAGCAAGTTTACGAGCTGAGACCACAGATTGCTCTCTTTCCCAGTACTTAATATCATTTAAAATTCTCTGTATCCCAACAGCACAAGGTTCTGTGTCTTAACTGAAAATACCTCAAGCCATCAAAAATAAGGACCCAGCAAGCTAACTGTCAATGTTTTTGAATCAAGGCAAAATGAGACCACCCGTCTTTAATAAGCAGCTGTAAAAATGCAAAGACCATAGGTGCTGAAAAAGGAATATTGGAGTACTCCCGTCATTCTGTCAGATCTCATTTTAAAAATGAGATGAATGAGATGGAACTGGGATACGTCGATTTCAGACACGCTGCACTGCACAGGTATTGCATTTTCAATGTGTACAGTACCTGTCTCTGATCCATTTTTCCATTTACCTGACATCTTGTTGAATATTCAATAAGTTTCCCAGCATATTGGCAAGTTAATAAAAAGGGTATTAAAGGTAACAAACGCTCTTTGATCTCGCTAATTTAGTCGTTTAGTAGCTAATCTCAAATTGTCCAGTCAGTTTTTATAAGCGCACAGAGTTTGGGCTTCAAACACCTGTGTGAGAAGACTGTTCCAGTCACCTCTTGTGTAAAAAAGGGGTTTATGTTCTCCATCCTAAATTAATTCCTCTTTAGTTTCCTACTACTGAATGTGAAATGTTCTCCAAGGGTGAACCTGACTTACCCTTTGGTATTCTATATGGTTGGTCAATTTTCCTCTTAAAATATATTATGTTTAGGCTGAAAACAACCTCCTTTAACCTGTCTATTTATGATAGTCCCCAGTGACCAGGAATATTTTTTGTTCCTCTTCTTTTAACTGTTTCTATGACTATAATATAATTTGATATTAAACTAAGCACACTGTTTCAACTGAGACCTTCTTTGTGTTCTGTATAGCTTGAACATAAATTCACACTTCTAGTTTACAAATCCAAAAGCATTTTGTTTGCTTATTTTATTGCTTCCCCACATTGTCTTGATGAGGACATAAAAGAATCTACATAAACACCCAGATCCCATTCATAGCTTCCTGTGGCTCAGAAGCACCCATGTGATATGTATAGTCTACAGTATGTTCCTGCTGTCTTTGTAGGTCACAATACATACTGCAGATAGATATCAAAGAAATCCGAGTTGGTGTCAGATATATAAATAGTACTTTAAATGTAATAATTTCTGCTCAAATGTTAAATTATTTAATATAATTTCAAATATTTACACATTTTTAAAATGTATGTGCCTTTGGCATTTATCTCCACAGATGTGGTCGATTGAAAAGTCAAGACAGGAACATATTATGTGTCAAAATTAGTCAGCAATTAAAGAGTGAACAGTTTACAATGCAAAGTTACATAAAACAGATATATTCCATGAGCTTTATTGCAGTTATTCCAGTTAGCATCCTTTTCAATGTTAAAATCCAATGATGGAATTAGAATGATCTTCATCCTTTGTTCACCTTGAGTTCAGACACGTTTCTCACCTGCAATTTGATTTGATTTTAACTGAAAGCTTCATTAACTTGCTGGGGATTTATGACTGAAAATAGACACTGGAAACCAATTGCCATAAACCTGTTTTAATATTAAATTTTAAAAGAACAAAATATGTCAGAGAAATGACGGTACTTTTTTTCTGGGAATTACTCCAGCCTGAAGTAAATGAATGCAAATACTCTTGTAAACCACAAATACACTCCTTATTTGATTTTGGACAGCAGTTCCCATAATGAATCACGTCCCACTGACAATCATAGGCATCCCACAGAGACATTCCCGATAACTGATGCTATGCAGTTTCTTAAAATAGATGCACAGGGGCTCGGAGGATCTGGTGGTGAGAGATGACCAGTGCTGTGCACAAGGTCTTCAGCCCACAGACATGTGTCCACTGGTGTGGCAGATTAGGATCAGTGGATGTGCTTGGGTCTGTGGGCAGAGGACATTCCTGTGTGCCGCCTGACTGCTCTGTGGATGCCTGTCTCAAACCAAACGCTGCAGCAGTATCGAAATTCAATTCCTCTCCCTTCATGTCCCGTCCAGCGCCTCACTCCGTAGACACACAAGGGCAGACTTCTCCGGTCCTGCTAAATTTCTTTTAGCCGGCTCTTAAGAGACTGTCTTAAGAGGCGTCTAAGACAGAAACGACCGCAAAAGCAGCGGTTTAGAGGTGACACAGGGTTTTCGGGCGCAGCTGGAGGCCAGAACTGCTCGGCTTCATCGCCACCCGCGCAAGGCCACCGCGACATTTAATAAGCACACGCGGCGAGGCACGGCTCGAAACATGCACACTGCAAGCTGCGGCGCTTCACACGAGGGTCCAGGTTTTCGAGCCCCCAGAAGCTAAACCCGTTGGGGCTCTCTCGCGCGTGCGTGGGCGTGAGTGCGAGTGGGGTCTAGAAGCGGGGGGGTCGTGCCAGTTATCTGGCCCGCTCTGCGCCCGGAGCCGCCCTGGAAGTGGCACCCTCCTCGGCGTGGCGAGAGAGACCCGCAGGTCAGCGCGTCGCCTGGAAGAGGGGGGACTGCGGGAAACGGGCCGGTGGGTGTTGCCGCTCATCTCACGTCACGGAAGCGTGGTTGTGAAGTGGTGGGGACGGAGAAAAAGTTATAAATCTCAACCCCGAGGGGAGTGGGAAAGGGATGACTGAAGCCCCTTTAAGCGAGGCGCGCTCGGACTGGATGCTCACCATCACACTCAGGACTCAAGCTACTGTAGGAATCCTGCTGTTATTCCTGTTTCTTGCTCTCTGAACGCCGGGATGTCAGTGTGCTAATCCATCGCGTTGTTAACTCTGGACCGTCACAGGGGCAGCTGTAAAAAAGGGAATTGTGCTCTCCGAACCTTCTTTGCCGAAAGGAAAGGCATTCAAGAAACGCGATGATGCATCTTGTGTTGATAGTACTTTGCGGACTCTCTGGAAGCGCACTATCAAAGGGTGAGTTTTGGTTTATTACGAACTTGCTGTGTGTAAGTAGTGCAAGTTAGACAGAAACCAATTTCTCGTCGTTTATACATGCAGGCAGCGCTCAGTTCGTTTGAACAACCTACTAAAAAAATCGTTTTAAGCAGCTCTTCATTAAGCAAATACATTTCGTTTTGAGCAGAAAAATTGAATTGAGTTTGGGTTGTCGTTTTCAACGGCTTTTAATTTCTGTTTTCCTTTAAAACACACAAGAAAGCGAAGTGTATCATCATCATCACCGACCTGGGCTGGGTACTACACAGACAAATACTACAGGAACTACACTGATTTTTTTAAAAATAATAATTGTTATATTTTAACAAAGTGTAATTCTAAAATGAATCTAATAATACATATTACATCAGTTACGATTTAACTCACGATTTTTTAAAGAAGATTATACTAAGGTGAAAAATTAAAGCTGTACGCGATTCTTTTAATGATATACCAGTGAACATCAAGGTCTGGAGTTGCCTTTTCAGTGCGGCAGATAATTCTGATATACGGACTTTACAGATCACGTCTGCAGGTGCGCAACCATCACAGTTAATCCGGCCGCCCCGCGCTGAAGAGCTCAGATAACGGGGATTTTTAACCATCCTTGTTTTCGGCTCTGGTTAAATCAGAGAAGGGCGGCGTTTCCTTTGCCTGATAAATTAGTTGAATGGAAGGGCTAATGCAAATTACAAAAGGTCATGACCACTAGAAGGAAACTTTTCAATTTACAGGAACTCGGACTAATCAACATATATTACTAAAACAGGCACGCAGGAGTGAACTGGAGTAACACCGAATGATACGTGCTGTGTTAGTTAGTCCTTGTCAGTGTTGACTTGCTAGTAAATACGTAGTTGACTCATGAGCAGGTTCTTCGATTCTGTACTCACCAGTACATTGTTTGCTACCGACAAATGATGTTTGGGAACAGAAACATTTTGCCTGCTGCTTCTTCTCCTTGTTGAAATACAGCGTATATAGCCAAGTCGTCTTAAAGTTGTTCGTTGAATTCGTTTAAATAGATTCGAAGAAAATTACATTAATTATTGACACCCGCTGAATGCTATTATATGGTTGACCGGAAACATAATTTTAACTTGCTGCTTATTTGTAAAGCTTAATAAGCAATGGGAAAAAATGAAAATGAAATGGGAAAAAATGTATTAAAATAGTCTTGTTAATTCCGTGGTCATTGATAAGGAAAACGTAGAAAGCATTGAAAAATTGACAGATTTTAACACAAACCGTTATTGTGTTCAAATTGAACACCGACGCATCTTTTCGATAGGTTCTCAATAAAACATTTTCCATAAGTAGTATTTTAAGTCTTGTATTTTATACCTAGATGAACGCAAATATGTGCTTTCGATACAAGCTGGGTGTTAACAAACAACGAGCTTAAAACGAACACGCGTCAGTTGAAGAACATTCAACACAACGGTTGAAAAGTATCGGAAGCAGAAAAACAAAACTCAAAGGTCGTGAAGATGTTAAGTAAACGAATTACATAAAAAGTGTATTTTTTCCTGACGCGTTCTGATGTGATTATCACTTCACAGTGGGTGTGCTCTGTGGGATTTTAAGGGTTGGCTGGACCTCTTCTGCGTGGGAGATGCTGAGAAACACCAGCAACTGGCTTTTTCTGTGTAAATTCCGGAGATACTGTAAATTCATGTGGTAAAAATGCACGCCGGTTGTACAGCATCGCTGATGCGTTGCTCCAACGTCCGTTCATAGCCTTTCAATCCGGTGGAGACATTTTGCCCTCTCTGTCGATCTTCAGATCACTGAAAGTGTGATTTCATTTATTGCGAGAGCAACCGAAGAGTGTGTTGGTCATTCAAATGATATTCAGCTTAAAGTTCAGAGCAGAAAAAATAAATAAAATTAAAACAGACCCACTCTCCCGTTCAACAAGCGGTCTTGGGTCTTCTTTAGGATCTGTGCCCTATGCTAGCATCACAGGAGTGAGTCTTTTCCCTTTACATTGCGGCACAGCGATAACCTTACTGCTCGAAACCCAGACCAAAAGCTCACTTTATACCTCAGGGATTCGGCCAGCAGGACGCCAAGTTCCACGCAATACAGATAAACCTAAACTGAAGGGAAAAATATATAAAAAAAAACAACAAACCGCTTCCCACCCTTTTGCCCTCTCCTCCCAAAATTCAAGCCGCTCACCGCGATTCGTGAAAATGCCTTTCCACCTGTTCGGTTTCGAGAAGAATGGCGAACAGCCGGGAGGGAAGACTAATGAGGCTTGAAATCTATGCGGCCCGCGGTATTCAGCGGTATGATTGATCAGCCTGGTGTGCGGGTTCGAGAAGGTCAGGGCTTTCTGTGCGTGAGTGATCAGGCACTGGCGACCGTTCTGCTCCAAAGCGATGCGGCACCGAGCGGACTGGGTTAATCAGAAAAATATTTTTTTTCTTCCAATTTTATGGGGGTGTTTTATTTCTATAGGAATACGTACTGCGTAGGACCAAATGTACAGTACTTTCGAACTCCGATTATTTCAGTGTGACTATTCTGAATGAACCCCGTCGATATCCTCTGAACGGCCTTGCTTTGTCGTGTTTTATCTCCTGGAAGGGCATGCATGTCTTTCTCACAAGTCCTGGCCTGCAGAACACAGCGTCACAGACTCGGGCCGTACAGTGGCCACTTAAACGTACTGTACCCGCTGAGCAGGTGGTTATCCGTCAGTAACACGGTAAGAAAACAAACTACCAAACTTGGAAACCGTATGAGAAAGCAACACAGGGACATCATGCCTCGCTGCAGTGGTAAAGCCGTGTCGAAGGGTGTTCCCACTCGTGATAAACGCATTCCGGCGTGCTCGCATTTCCATTTGCGATGTAACACGCCGCACTGCTGCTCGCGGGGCTGAAGCTGTTGCCCCTTGCGCACTGTGAATGGGGCTCAGTCAGGTGCAGGTCACTGTGCAGTTTGACCACTGCTTGACTGACAGCATGAATGAAGAAGCTCATCAAGGCACTAAGCCTGTCATAACGCCCATACTGGCTGAATGGTCTGATGTCTCCACCAGCCACGGAGGAACTCTGATCCCCTTGTACATGCTGACAGTAGGGGTGTCTTCCCGTTGGCTGTCCTGCTGGGCACTTGTCCTCAGAGGCCTGTGAATGGAATATTAACTAGACCTTAAGTGTTTTCAGTTGCGAACGTGTCCATTTTTTTTATTGTCGGGGGAAACGCAACACTGTTCTATGGACTGTTAAACCGAAAGCTAAACATAGAGCTTCAGTGTCATTTCCTTCACTAGAGTGAAAAATTCTAAGCTGTTTTCCAACTTTTGGGGTGGAGTCACACAATTATTTCTTTGAACACACGTGACCCGTCTGGTCCGTATGAACAGCCAGGTCTCGACTGTCCTGTCCGGGTTCTGGAGGCTCAGCGTGTGCACTAGAGCACCTGGGAGAAACCCTTCTTTGCTCTGGCACAGTTAGGCCAGTAATTTGCTGTTGTAGCTCATTAAGAGCCGAGCTGGGTTCAAGCTTGCAGGCACACTTGTACTCCAGGAGCAGGTTTGGACGCCCCTATATGGAAAAATACAGCAGTCGCTGCCAGTGACAATATTCAGTGTTAGCTTTCATTTCTCGTTAGCTTGAAATTCAGTAATTCATGCAATTTCTTTATTTTACTGATAGTTGCACTTTATTAGCATAAAAATCAGAAGGCAGTGTATTAGTTACATAAATGCAATAAAAAGATTGCATAACACCTGTAGGTCTATATCACAATAAGTACGATTGCTTTGATGTGAGGCTATTTTTATCCGATTGTTGTCTTTTTGGGGTGTGTGATTACCTCTGGATGCAGTTGCTATTGTCTGCCTTTGTCATTCTTTGCCAGAGGCCTCTTTTGTAAAAAGGTTCACATCTCTGTTGTGAAACGGAATGGACTGTTTTGAAAGGATCCCCGAAAAAGCACATCAGCTACATGCTGTGAGGAGGCAGAAGACTCGCTCTGTCAAGTAGGAGTTTCTGTGCCGGTGATGAGGCTCTGCAAGGAATTAGGAGAGGGCTTGCTTTAATAGGTGGTCTTATCGCTGCCACTATCGTTCTTTCCTGAAAGCCAGACACAACTCCAGTTATAAAAACATGTCACATTGACCTTCATCCACTTAAGGTGAAAGAAACTTCCTTTCAGTGGAGTTGCACCATCTGAACAACGGCTGCACATCTACAACAAGGGGGATTACCAAGTTATTCTGAAAGAAATGTTTACGCAAGGTTTTTTTTTCCTGGAGAAAAAAAAATATCCGCGATACCAGTCATAATTCCTCCAGAGTGAAAAAAATAATAATTATAAACTGGGGGCATAATACAGCACAGTTTTCCAGAGGTGTCTGGGAAAGAGATATTCCTGCCATGTCATCCCTCCAGGATCCCATTAGGTGAGGTTTCTGTTATGGAATGTTGTGAGAGGTTATCTTTCTGTGTGGAGAAAAATGGATGCTTTCTGCAGTGTTTTCTTAGGCTCTGGGGAGCAGGACTGGGCCTGCAGTTGTAAGAAAACAAGGTTGAAAGAGCGGACGAAAGAATGATTTAGTCTTCCATTGATTAGATAGCAGACCAATCATTCTGCTGTCAGGTCTGGACAGAGTAATCTATTAAATGTCATTATCGTGTGCTCCGTCATCTCCCCAGGAACTTTTTGTTCGGAAGGGGCAGTTTTCTGAGAACCTGTTACATGGGCTACCCCAGAAGAACACTTCGAATTACAGGGAGGGATGACGATGATTTTTAGTAATGGAATTTTTATGCAAACTAAAGTCATTTCAGATACGAGATAACAAAAAAAAATACATTTTATATAGTGTTCAGGTGGTTTGCAAATTAAACATTTAACTTGATTTCTTGCATTACAAACAAAAATACTAGCTATTCTGTGAAAATAATTGATTCATTGTACTGCTGAGAAAATAAAATAAGCCTGAAATGACATCAAACCAGATTTAAAGCATTAACTGTGCTGTACACATCCTTCCTAAAAGAGACTGTTCATTATTTGGTTTCACAGAAAAACAATTTCAATCATTTTTCCTCTGAGGAATGTCTGGGGTACTGTTTTTAGGAAGTCTAGCTGTCTCACAATTCCTAAGAAAATGGCTGAACAGGAACAAAAATGTGCATCTTATTTCAAGCATATTTTTTATCTTAGAAGTGGTCAATGAAGACAAAAAAGAAAATGTAAAAGCTAAAGAGTGAATAAATTGCATTTTGGAAAGGCGTCTGGTTCAAATGCTGTTCATCCAGAAATTTACAAGGTTGTAATGGTTACGCTGCTAGAGATGGAGCTTGGTTTGTAGCAACACATGCAATCCTAAGGATTGCTTTGCAAAAACAGTGCAAACTTTTCTAAAAGTTCTAAAAGCATTTAGGAACACCCAGACCACCTAACAACAACAGGAAGAACTACATTATTGTTCTTAGTACACTTGCTTGAAGCTATTTATTTGTTTTAAGATTTTGCCTTTGCTCATGAACTGGCTGTTGAATACATATTGTCCTTGTGAATGTGGTGTGGTACGTGGTGAAGTCAGCCTTACACTGAAATCAGAACGCTGCTGATTTGGTAGGCCAAGCACAGCAAGGCTGTTAAAAAATAGTGATGCTTAGATCATTTTTATTGTATGAAAGTTCATGGATTTTCTGGAGATCCATCTTTTCTGACCACTAAACTCTCTCTCCAGATTGTACAATGAAGATCTTTTAAGCAGAGCTTCTTTGTGTTCTGTATAAGTATGAATTTATCGTGGGGGGGGTCATTTGCATCCGTTATATGTATTTCTATATAAAGAAATAACATTATCACCAATAAACATTCGATGAAAACAATTATCTCCTGTAATGCTCTTGTATGGTATTTAACTGATGGCTGTGATTTATGTTGTGCCTTTAAACAATATTAAAGAGTGACAAGTGCCAGCTAGATGATACAGTTTCTTTTTTGTGAGAGACTGAAGAAAGGAGCTCTCTAAACTCAAATTGCCTGCCAACAAATCCAGCTAAATGTTTATGTTCTCAGTGGGTTTCTCAACCGAAAGAGAAGGACAGCAAGCTGCACGTTCACACTAGGTTAGAAATTCCCGAGAGCCTAACAACCACTCAGTACATAAACAGTTCTATAAATAACCAATAAAGGCACAACTGAGTGACATTAAGTTTTTACACACTACATATTTTGGGTAAAAATAATTCTGTAATTACCAGCGGCATCATGGTGAATCATTTTTCTTAGAAGTGCATTGTCCAATGTCAGGCCACTAAACAATTTCCTCTTTTCATGATTTCTGTGTTATAGTCACGTTACTCTGTGAATCCCTGAGGAACCCTGTGCTCTTCTAGAAATGTTCAGACCCTCATTCTTTCACGTGCAGCTGGAGTTTAGAGTCTTGCCTTTTGCAGCAGCATATGAGGACATGAGAAAGTTTCAGACAGCGAGACGCCGTGTGTCACTGGTTTTTAAGGGTTGGTTGTTGACCTGAAAATCTCTTATTGGAGAGGTCTTTGGTAGTTCAGCTGCAGCGGTTCAGCATAGTAGTTTGCTCCAGACTCCCGCTACCCTTTGTGAAAATCTTAATGCACTCCCCCCCTCAGGCCCTCCTGTGTCTTTGGGCCACTGTTTTCAGTTATCCATTTCGGATCGGACCATGGAACAGCCTGGGTGGTACCTGCTTGATGGGACCCGTTCTATCGCTCGGGAAGTGGAGCAGGTACCTCCTTCACCTTTCCAGCTGGCCAGCCTCTCCCTGACAAAGGCCCTTGCCATGGTGTGATCGCAAGCACATCGGTGTTGGGTGGAGTTCGCCAACAGGGAGAGATCACAGCTGGTAACAGTTGCCTGTAGTGGCGGGGGGGTCACCATGTCTTGCTAGCTTTTAAAGTTTCTTCCTGCCACACCTGTTCAAACTGCAAAGGAACAGGAAAAGATGTGTTCCGCCTTGAGCGAGACAGTCTAGCCTCCCTCTCTGCCTCTCTCTCTTTCATTCCTGCCCTCTCCTTCTCTTCTTTACCCACCTCTGCAGCCAAATCACTGGTATTTCACTCATTCGTTTTATTTTTCAGTGCGGACTTGACCTCTGCCATTTGAATGATGTTTCATTGACTAGCACAGCTGAAATTCTCATTTTTAGTTTTTAGAAGTACTAGTGAGGAAGTGTTTTGAAATGTATGCTTTTGAACTTAGAGTATTTGTATAAGCTCTGAAAAGAAATGGCATGTAGACTCTCAGGCTCATCAATTATTAGAGCATAGGCGCTTGTCATTTTTTATCACAAACCACCTAGGGGACAGCCTCCAAACTTTCAGAAAGCTGGTTTTCATGAATTCATGAATAAGAGCAACATTGTGATTAAGATGATCTCCAGGTTTTCCCAGACACAACTAAGGTCAGGCCTGTTACAGTACTTTTATCACAAACAGTTATGTTCTAATGTTAAAAAAATATTTTCACAGATAACAGACAGCATATCAGTCTGCCTAATATTGTCCCAGTCCTGTGTTGCAGTTTGGATATAACACCACTTTATAAAAACACATGAGTTTAAAGAGCAGCAAAGTGTACTTACAGTTATGCATCGTATGATTAGAAGATAATCAATTGCAATGTATTATACAATAGTAATCCTGTACTGCAATCAGCAGTGATTTTGTATTGGTTGTATATGGCAGTACCAGACATCTGCAGTCAGTGGCACATGTATCTGCGCATGTTTCTTGCTCTTCTCTGGAAAATCAGACACTGTTAACAGCTTTACTTGCTCCTTTGCAATCTGGACCCTTAAACATACTCTGTAGGTGTTGCCACATTGTCTGAGAGCAGCAGACAGGTTGCTTACAAATAACCATCATCACAAGCTCCACTGCTGCTCCATAGCAAACTAGCAGCTCATGGCTTTCATAGTCTTCTGACTGTGCAGAATAAACGCCGATGTTTGTTTGATTAAAATGACCCAGGAGGCCAAAGTCTAGTAATAGAAACCATTTTCTGCTGCACGATTCTAATCGTTCAAAACTGGTCATTTAAGCCTTCTTTGATAACCTGTCCCACCAGCTTGTACAAACCTAGAGAATTATGTGAAAGGTGTTGTGATAGCAAATGACATGTGTCAGCTCAGGGATTAGCATGGGTTCGACAAGCGTCGTATAGCAGAGAAGACCAGTTATGTCAGTAAACACAGCTTGAGGCTCGAATCCCGTAAAAGACCCCTAGCAGTGTTTTGTGATCGACAGCTGGTCAAATGTTGATCTTTCCTCCTGTGGAAAATGTGAAGCTGGTGTCCAAGCTGTCAATCTAAAGGCACTTCAGGACTTATCTGGTGTTTAGACAAGAACCTCAGGTTAACCACTGTCTGACAAACTTCTGAAACCAAAGCCAGTGTGGAATGTGGTCCGCACTGTTCACTAAGCCCAACAGCTAAAGCAAGGAATTGAAATGCCCTAGTCAAATGTTCAATCCAGGTCACCCCAGGAGCATATTGAAGAGTACTGGGCTGCCATATGTTATAATGTGTTTTTTCTGTTTGCTACATCCCTTTATAGTTAACGTATAGCAATTGATGACAATCCCTTCCATCTTCTTCCAGTCCCGAGATCCAAAGGAAGGCTAAGTTTGCCTGTCCTGAGTGTCCTTGGTAGACAGCTTGTCATTGAGGCCAACCAGACTCTGCAGCTGCAGTGCAAGTAAGTACAACAGCTTCTGTGATTATTTGTATTTAAAGGAGGATTTAATTTAGGAATGAAAAAATTGCCCATAGTCCTGCGTAGGATTGTTTTTTATCAGCATTTGGGGAGCAGTTAATGCTAAACAATGGTAAACAGTTACTGCTAATGCAGTCGGCTGTTTCTACTGCTCCCTGAGTGGATTTGTGTGCCTGGCAGATGCTCTCACAGACTGCGGAGACACCTGTGACTCTGACAGTTTCAGTGGGAATGATCTCGGCCGTCTAGAAGAAAGAGGCCACATGAAAATGAATAACTAGGAAGAAGGCTGCTTATCTTTCTAGTGAAGAGCAAATATAAAATACGTATAAGTAACACTGACAAGCAGGCCAGGGACTCACACGCACCCATGGAGCACAGGCGAACAAGAGGTGCATTGAGGGAAATTGTCCAGTGTGCTTGACATCTGTCTGGGCGACTTGTTCGGTTACTCTGGGTAATCCGCTGTGTCCCCTGTCTGTTCCCTGCAGGGGCAGGTCGGAGCTCTCCTGGGCGTATCCGGAGAGAGTGACTGTGGGCAGACAGAAGCTGAATATCACAGGGAATCGCTGCGGAAGAGGCAAAGAGCTCTACTGCAGCACCTTAACCCTCGTCGCAGCCCAAGCTCAGAGCACTGGCTCCTACAGCTGCAAGTACTCGCGGAAGAGGAAAAGACAGGCAACTGTGTATGTTTACATCAAAGGTAAGGGGCTGTGTTAAAATATATATATATGTGTGTGTGTTAAATACAGGTGAGAGAGTACTGAGCTACTGTAAATAAACCCATGCTAATTTATTAATAAAAGTCCCCAAAGTGCTCCATCCCCTGCAGAAGAGGAGCACCTACCTAACACCAATGTGACAATGGCACATGGCATAGGCTCAGGGTGGCCATTAGGCAGGATGATGGGATTAATAACCCTACGCTTTAGGAAAGTGTTTTGGGATCTTTAACAACCAAGTGGGGAGGACCTCAGTGTAACATCTTGTCCAACTGGCAACACCTCTAGCACAGTTTTACTGGACACCATACTGGAGCTTGAATTCAGAAATTCTGGTCCACCAACACCTCTTACAGCAGCAACCTGTTTTTTTTCGCTGGAGGTCTCCCATCTTTGTCTGACCAGGCTCAGCCTTGCTGAGCTTCTGGGACCTGAGGAGATCAGGCTACAGTGTGGTAGTCCTGCAGTCTGTTGGAATGTCTTCCTTCCACTGGGTTTCCCTGAATTAAAAGTAGTATTTTCCTGCACTGTGGCATCCCTTACATCACAATACGTCTCTGATGCCTACAGACTTGAACTATTCCTTAATGTCCGATGCAACAGTGAACAAAACTGCAAAGCTGAAAAGATCTTCCCTTCACTTTCTCTGGTCTTGGGGCATTGCTCTCACTCTTTTGACACAGATCCCAGAACATAAGGCGTTAGGAATATTGTCAGACAGAAGTCTGTTCCAACATACAGCACTGCCTAAGACGTTTAAGTGCTTCATACATATGCAGCGGGCAAGACCCAGCAGGCAAGAAACACAATGATGACACTACAACAAGAATCCATATTAAATCTTCATCATTACGTTCCTCTGACCTTGGGAATCGCTGCCGTCGAGCCCTCATGGTGTTTCCTGCAGTCGCACATGGTCTCGCCCAGCTCCGGGGTGAGCTCCATCAGGACCAGGGAACCAGCCCTTTCCTACTCTAGTGCCTGGCTCTACTTGGCCCGCAGGTTCCAGAAGGTCTGGCTCCCCTTTTCAGTGTGACAGATGTTAATCTGGGGCTTCTTAACGTGCTTAAGTTTTCCAAAAGACACCTGAAATCCTGGACTCTAAATCCCTTCATGTCTTTCAAAGCTAATGGAGTGCTGTTTCACAGTACTCATCTTTGTTAAGAGTGTTTGTTTGCAACATCTTCATATATATAACACACCTTTATTAAATAGTATATGCACATGCTTTGGCAGCCTTTGTCTGTTGGTTGATATGTAAAAGCGAAAGTAAAAGCTAGGTATCTGTGTAGGCACTGCTGTGTATATACACATGGTTAACGCTTTTGATGAGACTGTTGTACAAGTATTAGACATCTTAAAGACCATCAAGAGTTACTATTTAAACTTTGTTACAAGCACCAACAGTTTACTCAATGCCATAGTGTTTTCTGCTATTATGGCAGCTTTATTTGTACATGCTTGGTCTAACTGAGAAGAAACCAAGCTTTTCCTTTAGCGATATTAGATCAGAATCCTCCAAACCGTGTACACAGCACCTCAAGGTAAAGTACACACGAGCAGCAACTGTGGTGCTGTGCTAGGCAGTCCATCGCATGCAGCTATCAGATCTGACTCTTTGTCAATCACTCATATAAGTTATCAACCTCATTTACTTTTCATCCATGAAGCTAATAAGCGCCTTTTGCACTTCAAAACACAGCTTAGAATGAAAAGAGCTTCAGTAGGAAATTGCCACAGGACTGTGCTGTCCCACAGAGTGAGACAAAAATCCCGGGAAAACTGGCACAGCTGCGTTAGACCCATACGCTTGGGCTCGCTCCGGGACAAAAATAGGTGATTCTGAGAGGTGATCAAAAAATAACCCACAGGAATGCCCAGCAGCACTTTTCCCAAGACAGCCTTCTTATCAGTGCTGGCTGCCCGTTTCCTGAGGCTGGGGAAACTGGCAGGGAGCGGGGAGGAGCTCTCTGGGCGCACCGAGCTCAAGCGGGGCTCTGTCTGCCGACACGGCTCCTCGACAGCTCCTCCTCAGGCCAGCTGATGCTCCCCTGCTCCGCCGTCAGGAAGCGGCTGCGCTCCTCTCAGCTGGCCTGGGGCTCTGTGAGGCGCATGAGGGAGTCCGGGCCCGCTCGTGCTTCTTCTGGTCCTCTCACTGCTGCTCAGCATCGACTGCTGAGACTGTGCGCCAGTTCATTTTTAGCTGCTCTTTGGAATCAGCATGTAAAAGGAAATATGGGATTAAATAGTCCTTGGGGTACTTTTGTTGAATTTTTTTTTTCTTTTTCTTCTCCCGTTGCTCCAACGAACAATGGATGAACAACACCCAATACCTTAAATGGCACAGGGCATATCACAAAATGGCAGAGAAAAAGAAAGCAAGCCCTTGAGCTGTTTTCACAGCACAGCTGGGACTGGAGCCCTGGGGGAAATGACTGTTTGTAAGCCAGTGCACTGGACGTACTGAGTGCTGGTCTTTCACTACTTCTTTAATAACTTCTGTTCATACTAATGGCTGCACTATATAAGTGCCTTCAAGGAAACTACAATGCTATTTTAAAATAAAATTTGATAGTACCAACTATATAGAATTGTAAAGAACACCAAATTCTTTTTGGGATTTAGCAACCCAAAATGTATCTGGCCTACAAACTAAACATTATGAATGACCTTAAGTGACACCACATTAAACAGGCCGTTTTTTAGTGTCATACAAATAACCACACCAGCATTACTGGAGAGAAGGTGGCAGTAATGGCTCTGCTCGAGGGGCCTGGCTTCCCCCCCTGCAGCCTGGGAGCTCCAGGCAGGTGTCGCCCTGTCCCACACTGCCAGTTTCAGCACTGATCCTCTGTGGAACAGCTCCCACTCGGAGAGGCAGAGAGAGGGGCTGTGACTGCGAGCGCGGTGAAGCCCTCAGCTCAGCCATGGTGCGCCGGGAACGACGTTTCAAAAACGGGCTCTAACAGGCTGCAAAGTGCCCTCGCAGTTGACTTTTCTAAACTGTAAGCTGGTTGACCGTTTGGCTGACGTTTCAAATGTTTTTACATGCCGAACTCTGAACTGTGAAATGAGACTGTGTTGTGAGTGAGAAGATGCAACTCAAATGTTCTTACGCACTGTTGTTTATGTTTGGCTGCTTTGGATGGGAGCCTGTAGCTCTTTTTCTGTTTTACCCATGAATGAAATATTCTGCGGCGCTGTCCGGGTAGTTACCTGGGTGTGTCTCTCGCAGATAGCTCCAGGCCCTTTGTGGAGCTGCACAGTGAGAACCCAGAGGTTGTCTACATGACAGAGGGCAGTGGGCTGATCATTCCCTGCCGAGTGACTGCTCCAGACATCACCGTCTCCCTGAACAAGGTGGGTGATTGAAGGCCTTCACTGGCCTGTGTCCCGTGTCCGATTGCTGTCTGGATGCGATGCGTACAGCAGCACACGTCCTCACCTCCTCTTGTGTGCTGTGTCTGACAGCAGTCGCACAGCAGTGCGACTGATCAAGATACTTCTGATCAAGCTGATGAACAGTGGAGGTCTGGAGAGACTCTACAAGTGTGGTGGGTCTTCTATGCCCTGGTATTTCCAGTTAATCCGCCATGACTCAGGCAGTCAATGATACTTCCTAAACAAAACAAAGAAAATTAGCTCTTATCTTTGCCCTGATTAGTTTTTCTTTGATACTTCTTGAAAAACATCTGACGGATTAGAGGAAAACCATATGTGAAGACTCAGGACCGAATTGTCTGAGGCGTGCGGTTATTTTTAGCACAATCCAAACAAAAGGGACTTTATAAAGATCCGGCAGAAGCCCTGTGAGAATACGTCTACAGAAAAATAAAGCGCTGTCCCCCACATAGTGACTGGACGCTAAGCCTTTAAAATAGAGCAGCCAGAGACGGCACATGAGGCTCGGTTTCTCCGCTGTGGCGCGGCCTTGGCCATCCAGGTAGGTCGTTTCTCTCTGTTAGCCAGTGCGGAAGGAGGCCAGCGCCGCTTGCTGTGAAAATGCGGTGGCATTTCTCTCTTCCCCTTCACTAAGCAAGAAAATCCCCCTGTGCCTGCGAGCCGACCAGGCACTGAGAACCCCAAGGTCTCATCACTCCGCCTTCTCACGTCCTCCTCTCTCTCTCCGGGCGCGCTCATCTCTGCCGCATGGGAAAGACCACCGGAGACAGGAAGCCTTACTTTCCTTTTTCCCTGGGCTTGAAGTACCCTCCAGCTGCCGCCTGGAAGGGGCAGGGAATCGCCTTGATTTCCATAATTGATTTTGCAGATATATCCGTGAGTGCCGTGCGACTCAGATAAACTGTGAGCTGGCATTGGATGCGTAGCGTGGGTAAAATCAAAACTTCACTCACTCCACAGGCAGCTATACATTCCTGAGGAACGTTTAGGTAAAGGCAGCACTGGGTTTTTAACATTTAAACTGGAAGCTGCATAACCCTTTTCCATTAATCCACACTACTGCTCATTTTATTTTTTATTTGGCTGCTAATTTCATCTAGAGCAACTTATGACTGCACAGGTATTTATATAGCAGGATATTTTACTGAAGTAATTCAGATGAAGTACCTTGCTCCACAGACATCTCTCCCCTGGGATTTGAACCCACAACCTTCCAGTCACAAGTCCAGAGCCCTGACCACTGCACCACGCTTCTGTGTCTCGTTTCAGCAGCATCAGACAGGAATGGTCAGAACAGAGCCGATGGCTTGCAGGAACAGTAGAGGCTGTGTGGTGTATGTGACCCCATGTCCGTGAATTCCTTAGGAATAAAGTGGGAGGACACTCCCTCCAGCTGGGATTAGATAAACGGGTCATGTGGATTGTGTAAGATCTGAATAAACACAGTAGACTGCTTTCAAAATGATATCCCCTAGGATTTGGAGAAACCGTGTTGAGTATCAAGGACCATTCCTGAAAACCTTCAGTCAAAATTGATTGAAAAATTTACATTGGCATACAAAACTGCAAGCCAGAGCTTCGTCCGTATCTACATTGGCCTTTGAAGGTTTATTTTGTCTGCTTTTTGATGTCATTGCTTTCTGGGGTACGTTTTGTGACTGGTTGCTGTCGTATCCTGAAAGCAGGAGAGAGTGGAGAGGATACCTGCTGAAAGATGTTTTCCACAAGGGTATAATTGAACGATATTGTATTGCGCTCTTCTTAAAGAACTTTCGGCAATTGTTTCAGTTTTCCTTCCTTGATGAGACACTCTGAGTATCCTCAGAGGGCACACAGGAAACTTGTTCTGGTGAGAGATGAGAGCAAGGGGACGGTCCGGCAGAGTGAGCAAGGACTCGGACACAGGAGTCCTAGAGACGAGACTCCTCTCAACTGAGAGCTCTCTAGTGGCTATAATCTGCAAGAAGGTTATTCTAGATTGGCTGCTTATGATTTAGGGATGAGTGGAAATTATGTGGGATTTCTACTAAAACGGAGGCTTGTCCTTAGCTAAGGGCTTGTGGGGCTGTGGATCAAGCAACTTAGCAATGGTTCTTGAAGTCTAAACCCTAGTCTAAATCATAAACCCTTAAGTCTAAATTCATTAGAGACACAACTAGATGACATCCTTTCATTGATTTGCTATTAACTACCTAGCCAAATGTCTCCTCTCATTGATAATCATTCATCTGTTTTAATGGTTTTTAAAATATTAAGGCCCTGAAAATGTCTTCAGTTTTTTCCCAAAATAAACAACTGTTTTGATATCTTTAAGAATTTTTTTCTGTAGGTTTTAATACAGACATTTCCCTTCAATGAGAATGGAGCACTTGCGCATTCTAAAAATATACTCTTTACCGGGGCTTCTCAGATATTTACACAATTTTTCTTTTTCCTGGAAGGACTTAGCACTTAGCTTATATCCTTAAATGGGCTCACATCCCTGAAAAACAAGTACAACAGGCAATGCGCTTTCACTTTAGTTGTGAACGAAACAAGTTCATTTTCCAAAACTGTGACCCCGATCCCTGCCGGGACAGAACAGAGTCAGCGAGTCTGTATCCTGTAGTAACAGGATGTCGCTAGATGGCCTCGAGTCACGTTTCACACATCCGTGCAGTCTCCTTCACACCCCTGGCCAGAGCAGGAGGGCTTGTCATTAGCAGTGTGATTGATGTAGTCAGTCTGTGAAGCCCCTTCTGAGCAAAGCCTTATTTCTTCTGGCTTCTTGCATTTTTTGTTTCCCCACTTAAAAAAAAAAAATTGTTGATTGTAGCTTTAAAGGTAGACTATAGAATGTCTTTAATGTATAGTTTCTGTATGCATTAGTGAACAGTACCTAGTTCTGTAATTGTATTGATAATACGTGAACAATGGAAGGAAACAAGTCCATTCACACTGCTGTTGTGTGCTGCATTTACATACTAGTTCTCATAGTGTGCATATTATTGTCCACATATTCAATTTAAACGTGTTATACATTTATCACAGCTCAAGTGCATTATAGACTGATCCTCTTTTTAGGAATGCAACAGTGTGAAAGAACCCACAACTAGCAGGTCATGGGTTAAAAATCCCTGTGACTCTGTTATCCCAGCTATTAGCTCTTTGCATCTGTTGTGGAAATGCGTCACGAATCATAGTAACTCAGAAACAAAATAAGGCAGGCGTGTTCTGCATCTCGCGCACTGAATTTGCCAAACACACGTCAACTGCATCGCTGGATAAAGGGATCCTTTTCTTCTCTCTCTCTCGTTCAGCAGTTTCCTGCAGAAAGGCTTGTTCCTGATGGGAAAAGTGTAATCTGGAATAGCAAGCAGGGCTTCATTATTCCATCCCCTACGTACAGGAACATTGGGCTGTTCTCCTGCGAGACGGTGGCGAATGGAGTCCTGTACAGCACCAAATATTTAACACACAGGCAAGGTGAGCATGATTCCACGAGTCACAGTTTGCAATGTGCTGGGAATGAAAAAAAAGCTTGTTTTGTGCTGCTCGTATTCACACATACTGCATGTGTTTCTTTGTGCAGTGAATAAAATCATCGATGTGTACCTGAACGCCACCAGTCCTCTGAGGATGCTCCATGGAGACAGGCTGGCTCTGAACTGCACTGTCACTGCAGAGTGGAACGCCAGGGTAGTGTTCACCTGGAGCTATCCTGGGAAGGTGAGAACAGAGCACTGCCTTTATCACTTCAGCTGGAGAGCAGAGCACTCCCTGTAACACTCCTGCTGGAGAACAGAGCACTCCCTGTATCATTCCAGCCTGCTGTTTAATTACATTTTCAGTTCTCTCTCTTTCCTTTTAACAGCTGGATTGTTGTTACCAAAACAAACAATTTCTTTATTGTTTACCAATAAACTGCATTTAACAGGGAAACATGAATCAGAGGTGGAGAAAGTGGAAGTATATTTAAATCTGAAAACACATAATGAAACTGAACTCAGGCACAGAAGTCCTAGAAACCAAGCTCCTCTTAGCTTTCAGTTTGAGATCATTATAATGGTTATAGTTTGCAAGTAGGCTGCTTTTGATTGGCTGCTTTTGATGGAGGAATGGCTTAAAATGTCCTAAGGACTAAAACCTCTACTTAGTCTTGAGCAGAGAAAACTACTTAGTCCTGATACAAGTATTCAAAATTCTCAACGAGAGTGACGGTCACTGCAGTGAACTTCTGTATTTCCAAGTCACCAGTGAAATATCCACCACAAGACGCACAAGAAATGGTAGTGCATTTCAAATTGAAATCTCGGGACACCCCTTTCCACAACGAGGTTTAGGATTATGGACCTAACTATGTTGTTGAGGCTTCTTTCCAAAAACAACTGCATCCTCGGATCAATTAACTACTGATTATCAAAGAGGCTGGATGGCCTCTTCTTGTTTGTGACATTCATGTTCTTAGCCCTTTTAGAATCAGGATGAATGACTCTCTTGAAACTGAATGCCTTTACCATGCATCCAGTTGTTTTCTCCCTCAGCTTCTAACGTCTTCAACTGGGCGGGAAACAAGGGTGGTACCTGTACATTCTTTCCTTACCACAGCTGTGAATAATGGCTTCTTCAGGGTTTTTATTTCCATCCTACTGTTAATTCTTTCTAAAAGCCGACTGCAGAGCTGAACATTGGCCGCGCTGCCGTTTGTAACCCTTGTAAACCAAAGCGCCAACATTCACCCCTGTCTTCTCACTCCTCAAGGCCAACAACTCCGCCACCATCACTAAACGGATGATTCAGGGGAGCGCCAACGTCTTCTACAGCGTGCTGGTGATTGACCCACTGCGCTCCTCCGACAGGGGCCTGTACAGGTGCCAGGTGCAGAGCGGCCCCTCGTCCCGGCAGACCAACACCACCCTCGTTGTCTACGGTGAGGAAGACCTCTGCGATGTTCTTCATCTCCGTGCCCCATTGTTTCCGGCGGTCGCTGTGTGCATATCACTGATGGCCCTGGTGAAGAGGGGCCGTAAATAATTTAGTCAGTCAAATGTGCCTGGAGTGACACAGATCTTGCATCTTTTACTGTCTAATACCAGCAGCTCTCGTTTCTTTCTGCCTTTCTGCTTGGTTCCAAAAACGGTCAGTCTCTTATATTATTCATATATAAAACTGTTGATATTGAATCCTAAGCTACTTATATTTGTTTCTATTTATGCAGCTGTATTGAAATGCTCTGCATAAAAGTTGGTTTCTCCAGGCACAAGAACAACATCCCACTCCGGATTTGAACTGCCGTTCAGTCAGTTAGGGGTCCAGAATTTACTTGCTTAATCCCAGCTACTTCTAGCTGCTGTAAAGCCAAACTCAGAACTCATTCTCATACAGGCCTTCCAATCCAGGCTCAAAACCTTGGCCCCTGGCATCTTCTTCTGCTTCTAATCCTTGTTCTTAAATGTGCTAATTTTGTTATCTTCTCTCTTTTTAACTTTTTTTGTCTTACTACAAGTTGCTTTGAGAAGTTACTTTTAAAAATAATAATCCTTACGCTTATATACTGTAGCATTTTTCTGGACACTTCACTCAAAGCGCTTTACAGGTGATGGGGATCCCCTCCACCTGCACCAGTGTGCAGCCCCACCTGGATGATGCACCAGTACACTCCCCACACTCCAGCTCCCAGTGGGGAGGAGAGCTGAGTGATGAAGCCAGTTCAGAGATGGGGATTATTAGGAGGTCATGACTGGTAAAGGCCAAGGGGAAATTTTGGCCAGGATACTGGGGTTATCACCCCTACTCTTTTCTAGAAACACCCTGGGATTTTTAATGTCCACAAAGACTCAGGTTATGGGCTTTAGGACCCGCACAGACCACAGGGTGAGCGCCCTCTACTGGTGCCACTAACACCTCCTCCTGCAGCAACCTTAGCTTACCATCCAGGTACTGGCCAGGCTCATGCCTGCTGAGCTTCAGTGGGTTGCCAGTTGTGACCTTCTGGCTAATTTATAGCACTTGGGAGATGGTGGGCACAGTGGCTCCAAAATAATTGACTTAAAAGCACGATCTGCCTTCATCTGAAACGTATCTGTCAAGATGATGGCTTCAGTGATCCTGCTTTTCTGGACGGACATCCAGAACGCACAGCCCTAGTCTGCATCATACCTCACCACACCTCCAAAGACGAAACCAAGCTTTTACCCTGCCTTCACTGTGCTGCCCACTGTGCCTTGTCCTGCCCATGCCCTTTCATGCCACCGTGAGCTTTTACATTGATAAGAAGAAGTGGCAGCAGGCTGTGAACAGGATGCCAAAGCTTGGCATGCAGATCTGCTCCTGTGGACGTGTCCTCTGAAGGAAAAAGGCTTTCGCGTCACTGTTGTTTGTACTTCCTTGAAGCAAATGTGCTCACTCCCATCCTTGGGTCCCATGTTCTATTTATACCCAGTAGAGTGATCTACTTTTCCTTTCTTTCCACAGAAAAGCCTTTCATTAATCTGAAACACAGACACGGACCCGTGGTGGAAGTGACAGCCGGCCAGAAGTCCTACCGGCTTTCATCCAAGCTTAGGGCCTTCCCATCTCCGGAAGTTATATGGTACGGGAGTCATTTACTGTAACATGCGATCCACGCCGGTGGGCGGGGGTGCCTGAGAACCGAGCGCTGAGAGCAGTCGCTTCAGCCGCTGTCTTTTTGGGAAAGAAAAAAGTCATCAAGATACTGAAGATTCCCAGATAGTCCACAGGGGTTATTTTTTTTAACTTGAAAGAGGCTTTTTTTAGTTCCATTGGAGTGAATAAGGAAAAGAATTACCCCCAGGCAGAAGGAGTATGTCCTGTTCATATATAGGAACAAGAAAAGGTTATTTCCACACTCTTTTCCACTTTTCGGTGTGAAATTAACGCACGCTGATGTATCCCCCCCCCCAGGCCGTGCTCGGATATTGGCTAATATATATTATTACCCTTCTTCACGCAAGGCTCCACAGCCAAAACATTGTGTTTCTTTTCTTCTCTTCTCGGCATGGAATAAACCTTTACGTGTTCTAAAATATAGTATTATTAGGGTGTGGTGAAAAAGTCTTAGATACTATCAGAAGTTACAATATATATGTTTTTATCAATATCGGCAATTTACCCCAAAACTACTAGTGTTTTCTACTATTACAACCACTGTTATAAATACATCTCAATAAATCAAGCTTGTCATTAAGCAAGGGTTAATTGACATGGTCGAAAATACTCAAAAACATAATTGCAGCAGCTCAGGGTCATTTACAGTACATGAGGAGAGGTAACATGGTGTACCAACTAGTTCATCTCATTTACCACGCAGATCAAATCAGTCATCAAGTCTTTAGCACTATGTGTTCCTCTGTACATATTCAGAAGGCTGAAAAGTTATTTTTTATGCTTTGAATTTAGCTCAGGATTAATTTATTTCAGGAGAGGATCCAATGTTTCTGCATGAATGAGTTAGAGGGATTAGTTAAACTTGCATTAATCACACGTTAGGGTTAGTGTTCTTAGAATAGCTTTCTATAGAAATTTCCCAATTCTGTATAAGTCATCCTCAGATTGCTTTCATGAAGCTAGAACTGGGAGTAATCCTGTGACTTCTTTAAACTCAACCAATTGAAATGAATAAAAAATGATGATATCATACTTCTGTTTTAAACCAGGATTCCAGTGCATCTGTAAGTGATTCATTGTGACAGAAAGCAGGCTTCGGTACTAGAAGGAGGGAAGTCAGAGACATTTAAAATCGCAACTGAACTACTAATAGAACATGACTGCAGGACTGAGTGCAAACACCCATATAGATTTAAATGAAGCTGATAAAGAAATGATCAGAAGAGTGAAGCATCATTCACATTGTGAGAATATGACTGGATTTTCTTGCCCATCAGGCTAAAAGATGGGAAGATCGCCGCAGAGCAGTGCTCCCGCTACAGGGTTGATGGGAACTCCCTGGTGATCAGGGATGTGTCTGAAGAGGATGCTGGTGTTTACACAATCCTGGTGGGGATTCAGCAGTACAGCCTCTATAGGAACCTCACTGTCTCGCTAGTTGTCAATGGTGAGTGGTGCCTCTCTTAATAATAATAATAATAATAATAATAATAATAATAATAATAATAATATAGTGATATTTATAATAGAGTAAGAAAACACTTTATTTCATTCTCCCACCTCCAACTTTATGCAGATTATGAAGAAAAATGACTCGTTCACTCCAGCACAGGGTGTGCCTTTGCTGGTCACCTAGTTCTTAGGAAGCCAGGAGGCCTGTGCTGGTCTGACCCCCCCCCCTGTGGACTGTGCCTGTTCTTGCAGTGAAGCCGCAGATTGGAGAGAAGGCCGTGTCCCAGGACCCTGGCACCTATGCCAGGGGCAGCAGGCAGACACTGCTCTGTACCGCCTACGCCTTCCCCCCGCCCCAGATCCAGTGGCTGTGGCACCCCTGCCCGAAGAACAGCATGAAAGGACTGTAAGTACACGAGTTCTCCAGCTTCTCCCAGGCCTGTTTTTCCGCTTCCCGCACTCGTCAGGCAGGGCTTGCAGGCAGGTGTAGGAATGCCAGCTCTTCCAGGGCCCTCACCGCTACAAAGCCAAATTGGTCGCAGAATGTCACCATCGCAAAAAGATGAAAGGTGCCAACCTGGCAAAAGCCAGCATAGCGATGCAGACCCAAGGGAAAATGTAGTTGTTTTTTTTTTTGTCGTTCGCTGGAAGCAAAGAAATAATGGTGGGGGGAAAAAAAAAACTTGCGGTGGGGCAAAGCACTGTGAAAGTGGTGCTGGCTGTGCGTTCCACATGGAGGGCTTCCAGGCTTTGGGAAGACCTGCTGGAGGAGGGGAGGGCAGCCTCACTTGTCCAGGGCCTTCTGCAGAAAGCTGTGAGTCACGGCTTCCAGCTGCTTTTTGGCTGATACTCTTTGTATGCGGTCACGGAGAGTGTTTCTTCTCGGCAAGAGCTGAGGCATTCACAGTCCCTCTCCTTCCTCGCAGTCATTTTTGAGAGTCTTTTCCAGACCCTTTCCTCTTCCTTGGGTACTGTCAGCAGCCTGCATGAAAAGCAGAGCAAGCTGGAAAACAACCAAAGTGCATGTACTGTACACTGAGGGTTTCCATGACACGACCCTGTCCCTGGTGTGGAGACAGGTCCCATCTTGTAAATCATGATTTCTCCTGTTCTAAATAAAAATCAAACATTTTAATTAATTTCCTTTGCATAACAGAGGGCAGAAGAGTTGTTTATTATTGGCGTTGCTACTAAGCATCCTGCGATCCATTTTCTGCATTGGCAAACATTCCATTTTCTCATGGGAAACTTTTGCCAAGATGCAAACCTGCCCATTTATGAAGAGGATCTGAGTCATTGCCGATGCATCATTGCATGTGCTGCAGAAACGATCCTTTCAGCTCGAGGGCAAGTCACAGATAGAAGAGGAGTTTGGACATAATAGCTGCTGATACCTCCAAGTCTCCAGGCACAGACACACACAAACCCGAACACTACACCACTGACAATGGCAGATAGGGCAGAATAAGCCTGGTGAGTCTCCAGCCTTGTTCAGCAGCAATGGGCTAATCAGCTCTGCATGGTACTTTGCACACCTACACATGCATCTCCAGGCTCATGACATCAGAACAATTGCCAATGAAAATTTGGATTTAATCTTGCATTTTTCATACTCACATTGCTGGCTACTGTTTAGCTTGTACAGACAGATCCACGCTATATTGTAGTTGCACTACATGATCCTTTTCTAGCTACCCTGGAAAACCAGAGTCTAATGCAAAACGCACAGCTCTAGATATCACCCAGGCCCCCGTGCTATGGGGGGGAGGAGGGGGGGGCGTGTTAATTGCAGTTTGGGGTCAGGGGCTGCTGACAGGGGGTGGCAGCTCTCCAAATGTGCAGTATAACTCACAAGAGCAGCAACTGCCTGCCTGCTTCGCATTTTTTACATGTGTTTGAAGATCTCGACGAGAGATCGAGCCCCTTTTTTCTTTGCAATTGCATTTAGGATGTGAGACATTTGCATGTGTGCAGTTCTGTTGATCCACCTGGCTGTATTATGCAGATACTTTATGAGGCCCTTGTTCTTTGTAGCGTCCAAGCGCCTCTAGCCTGATGGCAGGCTGACGGATGGGAGCAGCAGTGGTGCTAGCCTGAGGACAGTACAGAGCTCTGGCTGATAATGATGGCCTTGTCCTGAGCAGGCCATGGGAGTTTTCTTATCTCACTCTGGCAGGAGGTGCTGTGAGCTTCCTGTGCGAAATCAGAGCGCTCACCGCTTTCCTCTTGTTGTTTGGCTTCCTCCCCCATCACGAGAAGGTTCCCAGCAGCATGATTGTCTCTTAAGTCTTCAAATGTGGCAACAACACGCTTCCTCAAGAGCTTGATCTATTCTTGAGACCCGGGAGTTCGACCCCCTGCACTCCCCTTCCACAGATACAATCAGCGCGGCTCGTAAGCGCAGCACAGGGGTGGGTGTTGCATTTCCAAGGCTGAACTCCGTGTGACAGCGGTGGTCCTTCACATGAACCTCTGCGCTCCGCGAAGACACCCTGCCAGCGAGAGCCCGACTCTCCCAGGAGGAGAGGGGCGAGGAGGAGGAGGAGGACAGGGGGAGTGGGGTGGGCTCTCCGGGCCCGGGAGAGGGAGCGATCCTCTGCTGGGCGGAAGGCCTACCCAGTGGCAGGGATGGAGGACACAAGCGAAGTGTAGGAGATTCTGCGCTTCTTGACGCAAAGGCAAAAGCAGCTGAAATCGGATGGCGCACAGAAAAAAAAAACGGGACTTTTTTTTGGGGCAACTTTTTTTTTCTGGTGCAACCAATGCTTTACTTTTTTTTAACTCTGTGTCCTTTCTGGGGGGAGGGGCTACAACCCCACTACGTACGTTTTAGTCTCCGTCTTCATTTTGAAGGTGTGAAGTTCCATCCGTCGTCTTAACAGGATACCAACTTTCCAACTTTGCAATCTGCTCCCATTTACTTGGTACTACGATGGACATCTTCTCTGATGTTGTATTCATACTCAAAGCGCAGCAAGAGCCCAAACCACTACAGTTATCAAGTGCCTGTCTCTAGTTACTCCACTGATGCTGTGATATTTAACTTGATTAATCTGCCTTTATTAACCTATGTTTATGTTTAGTTACACTTAAATACACAAAAGACTGACTCAGCGATTAAGTTTAAAAGAAAATGTTGTCGCTTTCTTAAAAGTGATAGGATTAAATGCAGCATCTATGTATTCTGTGCAGTCTGGTACAGTATTCAAACATTTCTGAATATGGGATTTAATCATGCAAGCCGACCTTGTAAGAAGATGGAGTGTTTTTATTATATGTCGTAATGGGTTCAGAAAAAAAAAAAGTAGGGCTTTCTTTAAGTCTTTGTAACTGTGTGTGTATACTGAGAGTCATTAAAAACTTGACCAAACACTCGGGATTTCCAATTCAGTGCTCATTTGTTGCATTTGCAATGCCTCTCAGTAGATATAGAAGGTTGTCATTCCACTGAGCGATGGAGTGTTATTGTACTCGAGATCTCTGAGAGGGTGTCTTACTAACTGAGGCTGTGGAGCATCGGTGAGCACAACTGCTACAAACCCAGCAGGCTTCCTCCTTTCTAGATGTGTAGAGTCTTCCCTCACCAGCATTCCTCCCACTGGCCTGAAAGCCCACAGGCACACTGAGCGCTCCACACAAGTGCCCTGCATCAGCTTCTTCTGCGCTTAAGAATGATGTCAAGAAGACATCGATCATCCTATCAATCCTATCACCCTATCAATGATAGACATCCCCCTCTACTCACGCACAGTTCTGACCACTGAAACAGAGCCTCAGTGACACAAAGAGTCAAACTCTTCCAAAGCTAGAACTTCTATTTAATAACCTGTAGCCGGTCTCTCTCTGTGCCCATTGTATGTGGATCATACAGTCTGGGAGGACACCTCACAGCCTGGGAGGGTTGGGTTTGTGCCTTGTACTCTGCTCTGATCAAGTGTAGCATTTTTGACGGGTCTGTGTTTTATGTCTTTTTCTGTATGGTGGTGATGCTGATGGTGATGTATTTTATTTGTACTTGCAATGTGTAATAGTGTGAAGTGTATGAGCACTGCTGACTCGTGGACCTTGGAATGAGGTGTTGCATATATACGGGTCAATCCCAATCTGCATTGTTTTATTTTAATAAATTAATTTTATACAGATGACCTTATAGGTAATATATGAATCAGATATTTAATAACCATTTTTATATTACTAATTGATTTTAAAAATATGCTGTAATTGATTGAATGGCAACGTAAATTGTAAAGTTTTATATTTAAAAAATGAATATTTTGCATTTTGTGGTATATAAAATGTATGTAATGTTTGTCTTTTTTACACAAGGAAATCTATTAAATGTTTTTAACAGATTTGCTTACAATGACTGTTTTCCTATCTTCATTTAGACAAAGAGATATGTAGAGGAACAGTTTTAAGCCATCTCTCTCAGTGGGGTCTCAGATCATGAAACAGTCCAATTTCACAGTGCTGAATGCCCTTACTGATAATGCTGATGGTACAATTCATTTTTATTAATTGTGCATTTTTATTAAATGTTTTAATTGTTAAATGAAAGCTTTTATTCGAATGCCTTAGTTAATGACTGTAATGCTTTCACTTGACAGTGTATTTAAGCATTTATCATCCTACTATCATCACATACCTCGTTCATAAAACATCCTTTACCCATTCCATCTATAGTTTGTCCAAACCCATATACAGTATACACCTGTGAAGCGTGTTGGACAGTACAGGACTAATCATTTGTTTCTGGCATTTATCACTAAATTGGGATGCCATGATATTGTCTGTTGCCTTGTTGGTTAAGAAAACAAATCAAAAGGGCTACAGTAATGAATGAATATATTTTGCAATAGCACAATCACAAACATTCAGCAATCTTCACGCAAAGCTAGTATGAAACTGTCTACATACAGTACATGCAAATAATGACAGAAGTTTTGCAAAATTTCTTGATTTTCATTCCCACGCTAGTCTATAACACCATGATCACTTTAATGTCAGAAGAGATTCAGAAGCCACTGCATTTCAGGTTGCAGGGTTGCTCAGACTTTGAGAAAAAAAAAATATGCAGAACCAGCAGTGCATGATACAGACCACACATAGAACAATGTGAAGCCATCCAGGCATGAAATAGAACTGATTGAATTATAATTATCAGTTGTTCAGCTGAGTAATGTCCATCCAGCACTGGGACAAAATCAGTGTGCAGGATAACACTGCACTCAGCACACAGATGAATGACAGTGAGAAAGGGCACATTGTTATACTCGAGTAAACAACTAGAGTGACGTTAAATAGATCAGGTTAACCATGACTGTAGGAAATGTGTGAAAACCTCCTCTTGGAAAAGGAAGAAAAATGGACTGGCACGGCAGTTAAGTTGCAGTCTCATGCTTTCCCAGTTGAAGCACAGCTGCTCTTCATCACAAGCTCCTGACTCTGCTCCTGTGATGCAGAGAGCCATGTTTAGGAAGACTAGGTACCGGAGATCCCATCCCAAGCCATGCAACAACCATGGACCAGTTTCCATTGCAGATACTTTCAGTGATCACAGAACCACAGAGCATATCTCTTGCTGTCGGTCATAGTTTCATTGTTTAGTGAGCACCAAACTGTGACAACACACAGCCAGGTCAGATCTGATGGGCTGCATTACTGAGACACTCTAGAGAAGACCCTTAGTATTTCACTCCTAGCTTTTCCTTGCACACGCCTTGTTAAGTATCCCGCTGTGCAAAAGTCTTCACTCTGACTCATTTCTTGACAAGAAGAGAAAGAAATCCAGAGTGCAAGGTCCTTCAAGAAGCTCTTTTCACTGCTGTTCAGATTCTGAGCTGAGAACTTTCTCTTTGGTAGACTGAAGTGCCAGGCTCTGTTAATTGTCCATCGGCACTCAACCAGTGTGAGACCTCTTGTGGCTCTATAGCAATGCTTTTCACTGGGGAGCAGAAGGGAGGTTCCAAGGGATGCTGTGAGGGTCACCTTTGATCTGTGACATCTGACCTCCACACTCTGAAAAAAACCAGGAGAAGCTGCTGGCTATGTGCTTTGCGTGGTAGTTTCACATTGTGGAAAGCAAACTAAAAAAATTGATGACTTTTCCAGCTCCTAAGGAGAGAGAGTTGTATGAATAGGGAGAGAGAAGTGGGAGGGTATCTAATTATCTGCCGCTTGTCTGAAATATTTGTAAATACTGGCTTCTATACACACATTCCCAGCTTTTCAAAGAAGTAGGATCCTTAGTTGGTTTACAAACCCTTGCATGTCCTGACAGGGCGGATTTCCTTGGTTTCTGCAAAGGTGTAACCAAAATACATGAGCCCTTCCTGGGATGTGGCTGTGAACCAGAGGAGAGCAAAGCACTTGTTGTTGCAGACAGTTCTGTCTCCATGAATAAAACACTAGTGTAAATATGTCTCAGTCAATAGGAAAGGCAATTAAAGTGGTAGTACACTACAGTGAGGATGGGAGAGAAACATCACCGTGTATCCCAATTAGTGAGCACTGCCTTCATTTAACCAAGGAACTTAAACCCCAGCTACCTAACTTCTGAACTAAAGATGCCAAACATTTTCAACATATCCAAGCACACCTGTTCTGAACTGAACAACACGTGAAGATGGTGATGATTAATACTGATCACAATCATGGCTGTCGTAATTAAAATATTCATTAAAAAATTATGATGTAAAAAAAACCACGTCTCTAACAAGACTGTTTATTTCTGACTTCCTGACGACAGCACCTCACTGGAGCCCAGGTCTCTGTGTCCCTGAAATGAATACTCCAATAAAAAGTAATAGGATAAGGTCTCTTGGCAGCTGTTCCCAAATACACCACTAAGTCTGTCATTTTCACCTCCAGCCACTATGCATTTCCCTTTTGAGATCTCTACTCAGGAACCAGCTGGGACTCTTATATTGTTCTATGTTTTGTCATCTAGTGACCACATTCACACTCTTGTTCGGAGTAGCACAGTGGAGTAGTGGTTGAAGCTCTAGGTTCATCACCACAAGGTTGTGGGTTTGAATCTCGTAAGGGGTGCCGTCACATCTTGTACTGGTGCTTAGCGCCCCAGTGTCATTTCTGAACTGGGAGGACACCAACCAGTGACTGTTTTACTGTACAAAGAAGGTCCGTCTTTTTGACATGCCAGTGTCCTTGCAGAAGCATCACGTCGCTTGTCGGTGGGGAGGGAGGTTGATGTTTGCAATGCTTCTCCTTGTACCCCCTTCCCCCCTCCTTTTTTTTTGCAAAGAAGTGATGCTTTGATTCAAGAATACGCTTTGTGTAGGCGGAAGGATCTATCGGCCAGCTAAATTACTCATGCTTTGTTCTCTTGCTCTGTGTCCTTTCACAAAAGGTGCCAGCTGCCCCCGTCGACCAAGCGAACTCGTGTGCAGGTGACCACCAACGGCACAGACATAGAGAACAGCGTCTCGAGTATCTCACAAAGATCCAAGGTCTTCGAGGGGAGGAATAAGGTATGTCCCTTACGAAACCGCCATCAGAACGTCATGAAGCCCTAGTGACATGAAGCATTGGGAGATATGATCAAGCAGGAGCTCGGAATGGAAAACAACTAAGTGGGTATCAAAATGTAGAATGCAAACAAGTAGTCAATGGGATGGCTCTGAAAATACTGCACATACAGTATATAGTGTGATAAACCCCAATTGAGGTTATTTCATGCTTATTTGGGAGGCCTACAAGAAATCAAAGCAGGGTGAGCTATCTGTGGTTATGTTCCTAAGAGCATGGGTTACATATGACCCATCTCGCTCATTTAGATTTTGAAAGTTTATTAGTCAGACAATCTCATCCACCAGATCCTTAGCATTCCTCACGAGTGGGGGAGTCTACTGCAGACTGCATTTTTTTCCACCCAGTGCTGCAGTTTGCCAGTTTTTCATTGTTTGAGGGATGAATAAAAATCCCACACACAGACACACATATTCACACAAGGGAACTTCCTTAAGGGAAAACAAGCTGAGGTGATTCATGATTATTAAGTTTGCTCATCAGCCAGTTCCCCATAGCACATGCATCTCTGTCAGCCTGGGCTTCAGCTACAGTCGTGAAGTTCAAATGCAGTTCTCATAGTGCCTTAATTAGAATCTCTGAAGTTCGCTTTCCAGAACCAGTCTTGTGTAAAACAGCCCAGAGCACTCCTGCAGATAGGAGCTTTTCTGACAGGCAGTGCCTAGATTGAAACTCCTCTGTGCTGAGCGTGAGGAGTCACTCAGACTGCCCTGTCGCTTCCAGGGTGAAAAGGAAAGAACGCTAGTTTATTTCATCATCTGTGACTGATATCCACCATGTTTTGAAAAGCCCTTCCTCTTAACCATTATTAAACAAGCACAATAATTAAACTAATACAATTACAGTATAATTGCTATTTCATTATGATGCTTTCCTGACGGGACATGTTCCAAACAGGCGGTGAGGTGAAGCTCTTCTTATCATCACATTAGTTCTCATAGCACCTCCTTCATGGTCATTATCAGAGATGTCAGGCAACCTTCTGATTATAATTAAATACATTGACCCCTGAACTTGAAAGCTTCGTTGGCGGCCTGTCTCAGCTATTATCTGTAAGGGTGTGCTTGACAATCAGCAACAGTAGTTCCGTTTTACATCCTACAAGAATGCAGAGTTATCTCATGATTGCCTGGTGACTCCTCATCAGAATGAAGTCATCACCTCTGATTTTTCAGCTAACACCAATCTTCACTAAACCTTGCCAAGCATAGCACAGGCACAGTCCCTTGGTTACTCTGGGTGTAGGCTGGGCTTTCTTAGCGGTCTTTGCTCAGGCATTTATCCACTGTCCAGGCCAAAGGGAGGAGGGTTCCATCTGGTATCCTGTTTGGTGTATACCGCTTCACACAGTGCAAGACCAAAGACCAAACTAATAGATTTCGATCCTGATTCTGCACAAAGTACAACTTCAGCCCAAAGTCCTGTATCTAATAACTATAAAAAATATAATGTAGAACTATGCAATGCTTAATGAGTTAACTGGGCAGTCATACATCCTACAAGTGCGACATAAGAGGGAAAATTGAAAATCAAGACACAGTAGTAACTGTAACTGTGATACCAGTCGAAAAGCTCCTATCACACAGAGCAATGAGTAGAGTTTTCAAAAATTATAATTGCAGCTGCAGCTGTGATGAGTAAGCATCAGGGGTGCATTTTGCTTTCAAGATCTTATTTTTTCCTCTGGCAGTAGCATGATCAGGGCATTACACCGACGGTGTGATTGTTTTACTTTGAGGCTGCCTAGCATCCTTTTTCCTTACAGGATGTCATCCAGCTCGGGCGCTTAATGGAGTGGAGGTGGCTCATTGTTTGACTGCTGCCGTTGTGAGGAGTAGAAACAAATAGACATGAATGAGGGAAAAAAAAGTGGATTAGTTGAGAAATAAACACATCGGTGACATGGGGGGTACTGTTGCCAAGAAAAAAATATTTCAGAAAAACTGTAGCGTTTAAGCAAGGTTGTATATTTGCTGTAGTTTAACACGTTTACAAACATAGGTTGGCATGATAGTGTGGCAGGTGACACTACACCCTCACTGCTCTGGGGTCTCTGGGCTCTGAGACTGGAGTTCAGCCTGGGAAACCAAGAGTCACATGGGTTCATCCTATCTGGTTTTTTCTCATGCTTGTGGGGGCTTTTGCTGGGTGCACCAGCTTCCTTTCAAGGTCTAAAAAGGATTACACTGTGGCAGAGCACATATCTGAGGATATTGCTCTGTAATTCTCATCATTTTGCAAGTCTTAGGACGTTGCCTTCTTCGATTTCTATTTATAAATGTTTCTCTTGAGGTCCCTTTCCTGGCACTGGTTCCATCACAATTGAGTCCGAGTCGGCTTTCGTATCTGAGCTGTCAATCAGCCTGGATAACCCGGGAGGCCAGAGTGAAGGACAGCGAGGAGGATAATGAAATAATAATAAATGTAACAAGTAGAGTCCTGGGAGCTCCTCTTCCTGTTAGTTATTCCACAGTCCACGCCTCGGCTGGGTAAGGGGTGATAACCCCACTCCGCACCGGCCCTGTGCTTTTACTGTCCTGATATCATGGAAAATGTCAAAGCCGGGCCAGAACTGCGCCGTGGGGCTGCGCTTTTGTGACAGCTGTGTTTCCACAGACCGTGGGGCTGCTGGTGGTGGAGCAAGCCCTGGTGTCTGGTTTCTACCGGTGCGTCGCCTCCAACAAGATCGGCACAGACAGGAGGGACATCAGCTTCTTCGTCACGGGTAAGGTGCGCCTTCTGCAGGAGGGTCGCCTCGCCGGCCCCCGCAATCATCTCGGCCTTCCGAGCGGCACAGAGTCGTTCAGCCGAACAGGAACGCTTGCATAGCTCACAAAACTGTCCTCTGACAGCAGCGAGTCCGAACAGAGGCCAGTGTTTCCGGTTCCTCCCCACCCCCTGTGAAGAGTAGCTGTTATTAGTTATGAGTGGAAATATGAGAAACACCTAGAGTGGTGTCATGAGGTTGCGGTAGGCCAGGAGTTACCATGGAGACGGGTGGGAGCACCGTGCAGGCAGCAGCCTCTCCGGGAGGGTGTGTGGTATAGTTATCCTGGGAATGACAGGAACCTCGCTGCCTTATCGCGCTGGGTTTCCAATGCTGCTTAAATGCATTTTATTTTAAGATTCCTGGTGGTGCTTGGCAAAGATAAACATTATCTTCCATCAGGAAACCTGTGAGCTATTTCCACAGGAAGTTTCAAATAGCTAAAGTAAATACAGCTTTTTCTACAAAAGTGTTACACTTTTTTTTGTCACCCTTACTCTTCTGTCAAACTATGTAACAAAAGTTAAAGAAAACTAAAGTCATCCTGTAGGCTTCAATTTGTTTTGTTTTATTAGCTTTCTAGATAAAGCTTTTGCCTTTACGCCTTATTCTAAACTAGAATATGTCTCGATAGTAGCCGTGTGAAATATTCCAGATGAGCTTGGGTCTGTGTCTGGTCTGCAATTGTCTGTGATGCACAAAGCTTCATCATAGTGATGGGAATCAGTACTTGCTTTCCTTCTTAGCTTGAAATGGCCTCTCCAGTAGCTGCTATTGAAGAAGTATTTATCACAAAGTGGCACTGGTGATGCGCACTTTTCCTATGAGAAACGAGAGAAGCTTTCATGGCTAAAGAGTGCTTTCACCGCTGGTTGCAGCCGAATGCAGAATGATCACAATCGATGGGTTTAAAGGCCATTAAGAAGACACATGGAGAGCAAACTTAAAACATCTTACTTTTCCAAGTTAGGATGTTTAAAGACTTTTCTCTCGTCTCCTAAACATTGTCTCATCACATTATAATTTGTCATGTCATGCCTGGTCATCACATTGGTATCAGGAATACTGGAGTTACTCAGTAGGCCTCATTCATCCCTTCAAAGAGTATTTGCACTGATTCGAAGGGGAAGCAATGTTAAAAGTTAAAGGCTGATAACATGCAATGTGTTTGGAGGAGTTCCCAACCAGATAAAAACACCTCAACTTTTGTCTTCCCTTCCCTATCAGTTCCGCTGAAGTATTTTCTTTTCACACTGAATCCTGAATGACTTCTGGTACAAAACCTCCTGCATTGTTTCTTTTCCAGATGGCCCACACCATCGCCCTCACAGTCAAATCTATTACAGGAGCGTTTTAATCAAGAACATAGTGGTGGGGTGTTACCGTTGTCTCCTTTATACAGCTAGAAAAACACGGAACCCAAAAAGGCAAATTATTATCTTTGTGTCCAGAGAGTTAAACTAGCTGCTGGACTAGCAAAACCACAGCCTTGCTTGAAAAACGTCTAGAATCAGCTGTAGTGGGTTCCCTGTATTTATATGTGTGTCCATTATAGCTGTATGAGAATTAACCTGGCCTTCTGTTGACCTGAAATTGAACAGCCATAACACAGGATTTCATTCGTAGCGAATTCCTCCAAGATTAATGCAAACACGAGGTTCTAATGCAAAGACAATTAGCCAGCGGTGCTACACCCAGGACTTCCAGGGGTTCTTTGAGAATCAGCCCTGAGCTCTGTGAGTATTCAGATGGACGGTGCTTGCCTTAGCTGGCAGCCTGCCTCTGTTTTCTCAATGCCTGCCCCCCCCCTCCCTGTCGTGCAGATGTGCCCAACGGTTTCAGCGTGGAAGTGGAGGAGTCTCCCACCGAGGGGGCCGAGATGCGGCTGGCCTGCACGGCCAACAGGTTCCTGTACACCGGCGTGACCTGGCACCTGCCCACACACACGGGCCCGCGGGCGCTAGCGGAGGGGGGAAACAGGAGCCAGCTGGCCCTGGGGGAGTACTCCAACACCCTGCACCTGCGGCTCGGGAACATCACCCAGGAGCACTCCGGCACCTACACCTGCACCGCCCGGCGCCGGCACACGGGGGAGATAGCCCGGCTGGAGCAGCGCGTCGACGTCATCGGTGAGCGCCTGGTCCTCCTCGGTTTCTGCTCATCCGGCGCCCGTTCGGTCAGCGATTTGACATGGGTTTTGTCTGGGAGGGAGAGCTGGTGTGAACGTCTCACATACTGGCAATTAAAAACAAACTAAAACAAAAGTTAGATATTCAAGCACAATTACCAGCAATATAGCAGAGTCTGTTTTTTCCACGCTTCTGCTGTGCATTTATTTGCTTTGCCATTGTTTCCCCACTGTTTGCTGTTATCTTTTACCGTATTCATTCCTTGATTTGACCACACTGTGCCGTGCTCTTACCACGGTATTACACAGCTTGCTGAGCACCTGAGCTTTTGAATAGGATGAGAAAGAACCAATGGGTGACTTCCATGAAATGTGTGTTCGAGAATATTTTTGTTTTCGGTAGTTTCTTATATTTTAAAAAAAAGTGTCTCAAAAAATTTGTAGGAGGAAAAAAACACGTAGATTAGTCAAAACGCGAGTCGATGTGTTGAGTAAAAATCACAAGAATTTTAATATATGGTTAATAAACTACAGAAAGTGGGGAGTTTCCTTTTCCTTTATTGCAGTAGCACTAATTAACAATACAGAGGCAAACAGAATGCTTGATTACATGGTAGAGTGTACAATACAAATTGATAGAGGTTCGGTTGAAACTTTATTGTGTTTTACACTGTGCAATGCATTACTATGTCTATGTTTGACACTGCAATGCATTACTGTGAGCATGTTTTGCACTGTGCAATGCATTACTGTGTATTTGTATACTGTGCAAGGAATTGTAATGTAGATGTTTAATAGTACATTATAATGAATTGCATTATAATCCATTAATACTGTGTAATGCATTCCTATGTACATGTTTAACACTGTACTATGGAGTGTGATGTACACATTTTATACTGTGCAATGAATTATAAAGTACGTTTTACACTGTGTAAATGCGAGGCAAATATACGTGTTTTACTCTGTGCATTGCATTACAACATACATATTTTATACTGTGCATTCCATTACAATTTGGAGTACGTTTTATACTGTGTAATGCGTAACAATGAACTCCATGTGACATCTGGAGTGCTGGCCTCCAGCTCTGGTCACAGCAAGAGAGAACATTGGAGAAATGCTCAGCAGACTCAATCCAAAGAAAAACGAGAGAAAGCCAAAAGGAATTTTAGTCTCGGGACGAGACATCTGAGAAGGGTTGGCAGTTAAAATAATTTTGTTTCATATAGTGCTAAATTATCGTTATTAAACGTGAAACTTTAAAAAATGCTTCAATAAAGGAAAAAAAAATCGACAGTATAATCCAATAAATATGCTATAAAGAATAACAGCAAGACAACAAATTAATCATTAAAAGCCAGGATTTAAAAGTAAATTTGCACTTTTAAAGAACTAACGGTGCCGGGGTCCCTTCTTTAGTTTGGAAGATTGTTCCGTGGTCTAGGTAGAAAGCTGGAAAATTGCAGTCTCCAAAAGGTCTGCGCGTAGCTTTGGATGCACACAGCAAATTGGAGACTAGGGAGCGAAGACAAGTAATGGAGTGGAATGAGACAAGCATTGACAAATGTACTCTGTTGCTAAACCATTTCAGAGCTCTACAGATTAGAAGGAGAATTTCTGATTTAATTCAAAATCCACTGTACGCCAGTGCAGGGAAGCTAAGTCTGGTGTGATGTAAAAATAGGATTGTGCCAGGACAGGTGGTGGGGATGCTGGGATCTTTCTGGTTTGTAGGCTTGAGGCTGGGATGCATTCTGGAAAATGACATGTCATGCTGGGCCGATTGGACTTTTGGGATTTTTTTTTTCAGAGATGGCTGGGAGGGTTAATGTGCAATGAGCGTCATTGTTAACTGTGATAAAAATAGAAAAACAAACAAACCTGCTTGCATGGGGTGCTGTGAGTGTCCACGTGCTGGGGTTCTGCTGGGGGCCCTGGTCACATCAAAACCAGTTCCTGGGAACTGGGAACTGGGCCTGCGCCTTCCCCCGGCTCCGCTCCACACTGCGCGGCCGGGCCCAGCCCAGCTTTCACGTGGGAATGACTTTGTCCAGTGGGGAAGGGGGAACAATGGCACTTCCCTGCAATGCCAAATTTAAAGTCAGCCTGAAATGCCTCCAAAACAATTAGCAAATCTGACACTGTCGCAGCAGAAAAAAAGAAAGAATAATCAATTGTGCTTTTGTGAGGAGGGTATTTTAGACAACAATTGGTTCCTTGTGGGGGTCGCAAGCAACCTTTAGCGATCTTTTTTTGTTTTAGTGCTCTTTCTTACAATAAGGCGGCTTCTCGTTTGGTGTATCTCCTTTCCTACGGCCAGATGGTTTCTCCCAGGACACCCAAGAGCAGCCCGAGACTCTTCCGATACGAGAGTAAGGGGCTGGAAGAGACGTTCAGAGTGTCCAGGAACAGCAGTCGCTTAAAACGGCTTCAAAAACCTGTAGTTCACCGCTTTTACACAAAGAGGAATACTTTGTTCAGTATAAAATTAAATCTAACAATGTGGGTTGAAAGAGAATGGAACTTAGTGGTCATGGTCATGTATATATCTTTGATTGTATTTATTTTATCTGTTTATTTAGGCTGTACGATGGTATCCTTTTATTTTCTGTTGTTATTTAACACAGGCATAGATAATACTGTAGTTCTATCTTCACTTATATATAGCACCGAATATATACTATATACTAAAGAGTACTGTGTTTACTCTTATATAGCCTCTGAATGGCAGACCTACAGTAGTATTCCTCAATGTCCAAGATTGGGAACCACAGCATCCCTGCTTTAGTCTACAGTCACCTGTGACACAGATTTTCCTGCTGTGCCAGGAGGAATGCCTGGGACTGTTGTGTGACTCCTGGAGAGAAACGCTGGGCAGTGCCCTGTGATAATGCAGCAGAACATGACAGCATGACACTCAGCACACCACTGGTTTCCCGGTTCACCCTCCCTCCTGATCTCTGATCTCTTACATCTGCGAGCTGAGAGTGAAGCACTGACCCTGATGAGCCTGTGTTTTCTGTCCCTCAGCCCACCAAGCCCCACAGCTGCTGGGCAACCTGAGCAGTCAGGTTGTGAATGTGAGCAGTACCATCACCTTGACGTGCCTGGCACAGGGGGTGCCCAAGCCCCAGCTGGTCTGGTACAAAGACAACCAGGAGCTGCACCAAGGATCTGGTGAGAGAAAACGCTTTGTATGCTTCTGTCACGGGACAGATATATAGAATTATAGAATTCTAAACAGTGTAGCTTGAGCTATTTGTTTCCATTAACTTCTCAAGCAGAGATTAAAACAAAGCTTGGTTGAAATAAGAGGTCAAAGCTGCCAACCTGTAATAATTAAAACCAAATAATTGATTCAACCTACAAGCTTTCTTTGTAAGCCAAAGCAGGGAATTTTGTAAATGCAACCTTTTTGTTACCCATATATAAACACAATGTTTGTGATTATTTACACGTGAAGGAGAGGCATGAAGTTTTGCAAGTAAATTGGGTAGTAAAAAAATCATATCCAAGTCTCCAAGGCCTGGGTTGGTTTCCTGATCTGTTTTGTTGATGTACAATGCCAATGAAACATTTGAGCGCAGCCTAAAATCCAGCTTAAATCGGGATGAAGGAATGAAATAAGAATGTTGCTTCCTCTGGTCTCTTTAACTTAATTGACTTTGTGAGCTAAACTGCATATGGCCAGAGTCTTTACTGACTGAGATGCATGATGGGTCTTCTGAGCAGGTATCCTCCTGTCCACTGGGGGGAGCACTCTGCACATTGAGCGGATAACACAGGAGGATGAGGGCTGGTACACCTGTGCGGCCACCAATGAGAGAGGGTCTGTGGAAAGCTCTGCCTACATTACAGTTCAAGGTAACTACTGCATGCCCATTTCACCAGTTTAGCTCTACATTTGTTTTTTTTTTTAAATCTCTTTGTGATTTACTTCTTTTTCCTTTTTATTCTGCTCCTCTCTTGCTAAGCTGTTTACCACAGTGGAGTTCTTGCTCTGACTGGAAGTGCAGGTAAGAGGCTCATTGACTCATGCATGACTTCTTAAACCCAACTCACACCGATCTGACGCCTGACACAGGCTGCGCTCACGTTTGCCACAGAACTCGCTGTGTACCTCATAGTCCTGCCAGACACCATGAGACCAAACTCTCTTCCCCTCACAAAGCTATGAGCTGGGCGTGAACAAAAAACTGAGGCCATCCTTGTTTCTGAATTTGTTCTTCAGGGGACAGTTTTCCACGTTTTCGCAACCCAAAACCAGCTCTGAAATAAAGTTTCCTGGGGCAGGCTGAGATGTGAACCCAGTATTTTCTTTTCAACATCATTGGGACACCTGGAACAAAATCAGTGTCTCATCATATGGCTCATACTCTCATTAAGACCTTTTAACCTTTTAAACAGAACAGCTTTATTAGTCAGTGTGGATGCTATAAATATTTGTCAGAATGCAGTCCCACAGCAAGTGACAGGATCAGCTGTAAAGCCCAGTAAATCAGTAGCTTCATGTCTTCTTGGGACGTTCATCCAGTCCAGATCACCTGCAGCTATTTCTTCACTCCTCACATGCAGAGAAAATGGTTTAGATGAGGCTTTTGATACTGACTCTGAGCCCTACAGATTTTGCAGTTCACCTTCACTTGGAATTCCCCCAATAAAGGACGAGCTGCTATTTATATTTCAGCAGTAATTTAGAAAACATATTTTTGGAACATATTCATCGCGTGCACAGAAAACCTGCACCATGCATCTACTCCATTTTTGCAGAATCTTTTTTTTTAAATGTATTTCAAGGTAGCTCTTTTCCAAAAGCAACAAACTACCCGAGTGCTTCTTGTTTTACTTACTAAGTTTAAATATCGATAAAAGCCTGAGTTTTTTTTTTGGACAAGTTAGGAAGGAAACTGTCTCCCATTTTTATTTCCCTCGGAAGGGCCCTGAGCTTTTTTCAACAGACAAACCGCTGCGCTATTTCTGCACCAGAAAAGGGGTGAATGAGAAGGATTATTGTTTGTGTTCTGACACATTTGTTATGTTTTGATCAAGTGTATTTACATTGTTATGCCAGCAATAATACGAGGGGCTATTTTTTGTACTGAGAAAGACAATGATGGCATAACACCATAGTAATCTCAGAGTGGGGCTTTGCGTTGGTCCCTGAGGTGCACAGAGACATAGCAGCAGCTCAGCTCAGATGTGTGCAATAACAGGGGCTTTACTTTGTGAAATGCAATGCTTGCTTAGTGGGGCTGTGTGGAGGAGGGGTATAAATCACATTTCTCCAGTAAGAGGGAGTGGGGACACTGGGACACTAGGTTTGGTTTGAAAAGAACACCATCCCAGGCGGATGAGCAGCAGTCAGCAGCATTAACTTTGGATTGACTTTGGATTAGGCCTGCTAATCGGTGCCTTCTGAGGAGGAGCTTCTTCAGCAGAGCACGACTAGGACAATGTGTTGCTGTATAACATGACTACTGTTTCCACAAATGGACTGACGACTCAATCAAGATGGTTTTGTTTTTTGGCCATGGGAGGGGGTTGAGAGTGAGAAGGACTGTTATAATTTAACAGCTTTCTACTCCAGAACAAATATTTGTAAAAAAGATTCACTTGTGCCAGTGTCCACTTTTTCTTTTCTGTCTTTCATCTCTTCCTGTCCTTCTTGGTCTCTGTCACTGTTGGAGTTATCAGTGCCATTTTTTTTTCCTGATGAAAAACTCAGTGTGCTAGCGTTAAATGGGTAATTTCAGGGTGCCCCGGAGAAACGTGGGGCCAACAGCAGCTTGGTGCTCAAGGCGCCGTGTGTGTCTTCCTGGGATGGTGGAGCTCTGCAGAGCCCAGTGGTGATGGTGTCCTGACCAGCCCTGTCCTTGTGTTCATGTGTCTCCCCAGATCTGACAGAGAAATCCAACCTGGAGATCCCCACCCTGACCTGCACCTGCATCGTAGCCACACTCTTCTGGCTGCTGCTGACCCTCTTCATCCGCAAGCTGAAAAGGGTAAGAGGTCAGCTGGCGGAGGGAAGACAAACCTCCCTCTGGGGCTGCCATGTGGGAAGTCATTAACTTCACTAAGCTCGTTAGCAGGATCAGGTTCAGCATGGCAAAGCATTGAGAACAGGGTGTGCAGCTTTGTGCTACGTGATGCCATGACTGCAAGAGTTTCATAATTAACACGAGCCTGACGTGTTTCCCAGGAGTGCATTGCGGTTTAGGCCCATTCCCACCAGATAAAGATGAAAGAGTAGGTTTAGGCCGGGGAGGATTTAAAGACACAGCTGAGAAATGACCGATTGAGGTAGTCCTACAAAAATCACCCTTTTTTCCATTCATGGTGAGTTCTGTGGTGTTTTGCAGCCCAGCACGCCTGAGATCAAGACGGACTGCCTGTCCATCATTATGGACCCGGGGGAGGTCCCTCTGGATGAGCAGTGTGAGAGGTTGCCCTACGACGCCAGCAAGTGGGAATTCCCTCGGGAGAGACTGAAACTCGGTACGCCTGCAGTGCGAAGCGTTATCCTCATCCTGACATGCATGGGCAAAGCATAACTCTTCTGACAGAAAAGGGCCAGGGCACAGTGCGCTTCCGTTTGAGCACAGTGTTTAGTTGAGCAACAGAAATTCAACAAAAATAAGAAGCCTTAGTCCCGAGCAATTAGGAACTCAAGGGTTAATGGCAACACAATGGCAGGAAAATGACTGGCAAATATCATTTTCCTGGAATTGTGTTCCTGTTCACCCCTGTGCTCTCATTCACCCCAAACTGCAGCACTCCGTCAACAGGCTGGTAATTGGTTTTTGCAACGAGAGGACGCTTGGTCTCTGATTGCGGTGATCTCTGGGCTCTGAGAGAGCAGTCTGTGGTTAGGCTCAGAGACATGCAGCTGTTCTCCTTCCCTTTCTGCACCCCTGCATTGCTCACCGATGCTGGTACCTCCCCAGCCTGTCACTTACCGAAACTGCATGTTGACATGTGCTGCTGACCGGCTTCTGCGAAACGCAGTCAAACACAGTTGCTGTTTTGTCACTGACTTTCTGTTAACTTTCTTTTCTGTTTGCTCATCTGCCCTCTTGAACGAAATAACCAATTGCATTGACTGAGGCGAGAAACAGTTTCCCTGTGAAATCTAAAGGGAGCTGATTTTTATTTTGATGATTTCAGGAAATCGCTTCATGTAACGTAACAGAGGCAGTGGGTAGGACGCTGATCTTCTGGAGCTGAGGAAGGGCTCCCTCTTTAGTTTAGATGTGTGTAGTGAATGAATGTCTTTTGAGGTCCTTGAGACAAATATTTGTGTGGATTTCTGAAAGGTGTAGTTTCACATTGTACTTTCATTAATATTAATTATTTTTTGATGTACTGTCATTCAATACATGCCATTGTTTATGAGACAGAAAGCCGCCTACAGTACTGGAGTGGCTACATGAAAGAAAACCCTGTACATCCTTCAAGGACAACATTTATAAACTGAAATACATGTATTTAATGAAACCTGTACTCCTTTGTTACAATGAAGTTCTTCCCATGATGATGTTTTATGATGATGATGAACTTTAATATGCAGACTGTTGTAATAATGATCATTTTATATTTTCATGTGCCTCTCTATCCCCCTGTGTTGTTCATATGGCAGAAGCACGCAGAAAGTTCAAATCTCTACATATGCTTTATACTTCCAAGTATAAAGACGAGCTTCTGCTAACTGTTTTTCGTTCCTACTGTTGGAGTTTCCATGTTTTTTTCTCCGGTCAGGGACACGTTGGATTTTCCCTTTTAAAAGGAATGATTTTAAAACAATTGCAGAATCATGAATACATGGCTGGCTGTGGGGTGTGACTAGCAGTTGTCAAGTCAGAGTCTGCGCTGGCTGCAGGACTTCAAGCAGCCACAGACAGGCTCATTCGGTTTGTGGCTGACCCCCGGATGACTTTTTACCTGGGCATCACTGAGGGCCGCCTCCTTTCTTCTCTCTTTTCTTTTTTGTAGAGAAGCCCCTGGGCCGGGGAGCCTTTGGAAAGGTGATGCAGGCGTCTGCCTTTGGCATCAATAAATCTTCAACCTGTAGGACTGTGGCTGTGAAAATGCTTAAAGGTACCTCCCCTGCAGTGTGTTCGTGACCCCCCCGGTGACCTGCCTCTGGACAGAGGTCTTGCTCTCTGTACTACAGCCCTTCCTGTCTGAGCTGGCCATGTGACAGAGCTGTGCTTTCCATTGCAGTCCCTCCCAGCCTCTCCCTGCACAGAGGCTCTGACAGCAAGCACTCTGTGTTCCCGGAAAATATGGGAAAGTAAAAGGAAAAGACTTTCATACTTTAATTCGAGCCCTGCTACTTCTGTTAGCTTCACTCTATGTGTAACTCCATAATAAAATTAAAGATGTGACTCTTAAGAAATGCAGGAATTGTTGCAGCCTCTGAATTATATGGAAGAGTGCACTGTTTGGCATGTTTCATGACAGAGAGAATTGTGAGAGTTTGAAACAAGGTCTCTTACCATGCTTTTGGAGCCAATACTTCATCTTCCTTCAAGAACCTGCTGAATCAGACCCTTGAATTAATTGGCTGCTAGCAACTTGGCAACCTCCTTGGAACGAATGGCTTCCCCTCATTTGTAACCCTTTTCTTTTCCAACAGAGGGAGCCACCGCCAGTGAGTACAAGGCCTTGATGACGGAGCTAAAAATCCTCATCCACATCGGACACCATCTCAATGTCGTCAACCTGCTAGGCGCTTGCACGAAGTATGGAGGTCAGCTGTGGTGATTTTAGTTTCTCTACTTCTTTTACCCCATCTTGCTGATGGGGTCCTGCAATGATGTGGCTCAGCGTGTCCAATAAGGTTTGGAAAGGCCCGTGGGAGTCTGGAACAAGCTACCCAGTCATGTTGTCGAAGCCGATACCCTGGCGTCTTTCAAGAATTGCTGGAGGAGAAACTGGGAACAAAAAACTCCTGACTCCCTTTGTTTGTAACCATTCATACACTGACGCACATACTGTACAGTATCCATCGGGACATGGAGGACTTTAGAACAGACTCTGTGGTTGTTTTCTCCTGTACTTCTGTTCTGTCATGACTTCGGCTTGCGTAGTGCTGTCTGCCGAGTCCAGCTTTCTGTCCTGAGAGGGGTGTTTGTGGTCTGGGGGCATATTTACTTAATCTTTTTTTTTTAATTGTAGCTTATGTGACATCATCCTCCCCTCCCAGTGCACACACCCACCACCCATCACCTCTCCAGTGCTCCTCCTGTCTTTGCCTTAAGATGGGGAGCTCTGAGCTGACACTGTAGTCATTTCAGGGGTTTTGATGTCAAGGTATAAATCACCACCCTAGGTGAACCAAGGATTTGTTCTGCACACCGAGTAATACTGTTCTTACATGCTTCTGAAAGGCCCTCTAATGGTGATTGTGGAGTACTGCAAGAATGGGAACCTCTCCAACTACCTCAAGAGCAAGAGAGAAGTCTTTATACTGCATAAGGTAGGCAGTAATAACTATATTAGAGTTATCTAGCTCAGTGCTTTGTAGTGTTAATGGTCAGTGCTGTGTGATACAATGCATTGTGGTTAATGCCCTGTTTCTTTTTCCTCGTGACATCAGCACCTGCTCTGAGTGTGTTAAACTGAAGGTTAGCGATTATTTTTGTATAGGGAGGTGAAATTTTTGAGTTGTGTTCAGTGCCTCAGTGCACATGAGGCACATCGAATCAGACATTGTGCTTTTTCCAGACTTTCCTTTCACTTCCACTTCAGTGGGTTAAATGTGGCAGCTACCTAAACTGCCACTTGCGCAGACAGAATACCAGACAGAAACTGCAGCATTTCTATGAAAGGAGTCTAGCCATACAATCGGCACCTGTTAAGCCACCTTCAGCTGTTCGTGATGTAGCTAGGCCACTGCTCGCGCACCATTTGCTCAATACTTCTGTGTTTGTCAGAATGTAAAATGATTTTGGATGTGATTTGGGGCAGCACAGTTTTGCAGTGGTTAGCACTGCTGCCTTGCAGCGCTGAGGCCCTGGGTTCAATTCCTGGGGTGCAGTCTGCATGAAGTTAGTATCTTCTCCCTGCGTTTGCATACGTTGTCCAGTTTCATTCCATTGTCCAAAATCATACAGTACTAGTAGGTTAACTGGTTTCTGGGAAAATTGGCCCTGGTGTGAATTTGTGTGTGCGCACGTCTGTGTGCCCTGTGGTGGACTGGTGTCCCATCCAGGGTGTGCCCTGCCTTGCGGCCATTGTTTGCTGGGACCCAGAATAAATAAAGTGGTTGGAACATGGGTGGGTGGATGTGGTTTGTTGGATCAGTGCCACTGCGCTCACCAGCCTAATGTTCACAGCCACTCGATGCTTTCACGTCGTGCCTCTTCCTGATCAGACGTTAACGTCCATTCTGCTTGTGTGCACACAAACCGTTCGGCGTGTGTGCGCGGCGCGTGTGCGTGAACGTCTTGGCTGCCAGTAAATGGATGGGCGAGCCCATGGAGGTTGACCCTGGTGCTCTGTGTGGCAGGACGGCAGTGCCCAGTTGCCACAGGACAGCCGGGGAGCAGCGCCGATGGGGCCACAGGGGGAGGAGAAGGAGGGACAGGCCAGGGCCTGCAGCAGCCAAAGCTCCACCAGCTCCGGCTTCGAGGAGGAGGAGCGGAACCTCAATGACACAGCTGAGGAAGAGCAGGGTACGCACTCCTTCCTTCCTCCCACTCCACCGTCGGGGGGTATTTTTAATTGCTCTTGTGTATCATAGCCCCTGGCTTCCTGATTGTCAGTTCAATAAACATCCGTGGAAACCTCGCCCACCTTGAGTTTAAACCAACAGCAGAAAATAGGAGCTGAGCTGCAGATGAGGTCGAAACTAGCACAGTGCCTGGAGGCAAGGGTATAAAGGTGCATCTCGAAACCCTGGCGAAGTTTCCTGTATGTTGTTCTGTTTTCACTGGTTAAATGCAGTCTAGAATTAAAAACATAATCTTTTCTAAAATGTAAGTAGTAATAGATAAAGGCAGAGCCCAGCTCCTTGTGGATGAACAGGAAGTGTTATCATGCAACAAAAAGCCTTGGGTAAAAAAAAAAAAACACAAGCAGAACATGTGTGATAGAAAGATATTGTTTTGTATTTTGGCTCCATTACGTTTGACGAGAACTGCTGTCTCTACTGGAAAGGCCTTTGGACACTGTGCTATAGAAAAATCTAGATGGTCTTTAGCATGATGTTGTTTGCAGCTGTGTAAATGCAGCCCTGAGGACTAGAATTTCTCAAGTTCACACATGAAGGGATTGGTAAAATACTGATACATCCGTAAATATGCAATGGCTCTTCATAGCAGTGATGGTGAGTACAGAATGCTGCTCCTTAGTAGTTGCACAGACCTGAGTGGAAAGCAGACTGTGTCTGGTGATGCTGTATGGAAAGTGTGATTATTTTAAGGTATTCACGTTTTGTGGGAGGCAGAAATGTAGTGGACGCAGCCGGGACGGCGGTTTTAATATCTGTTTTAAGGGAGTGTTATATCTGGGCAGTATAAGAGAAGGACTATCTAGCAAATCTACCAGAGCGGGTCAGCAGGAAAGAAAAGTGTGATGATCTGCAATCAGATGTGATCCAAAAACCGTCTCTGCTGCACAGTTTACATCCTGTCTCTGCAGCAGCAAAATAGCGCCAGCCGCCGCATTAGGAAAATCCAGATCCATCTGTGCACGTGCACGTCACTGCTGTGCACATGCTGTACATGTGTTGAGATAATGAAAAAAATGAACCCAGGGGCCCTGGGTTCAGTTCTTGGGGTGCTGTCTGCGTGGAGTTTGTATGTTCTCCCAGTCTTCATGTGGGTTTCCTCTAGGTGCTGCAGTTTCCTCCCACAGTCCAAAGTCATACTGGTAGGTTAATTGCCTTTGGGGAAATGGGGCCGGGTGTGAGTGTGTGTGTCTGCTCTGACCCTGCCTTGCACCTGTTGCTAACCAGGATAGGGTCTGACTCCCCCACAACCCTGAATTGGATGGTGAGAAAATGGATGGATGGAGTATTTCTTTGCTATCACATTGGATTTTCCATATAGGAAGGAGCGTTCGAAAAATCTAGTTGCATGTGGCAGGCCGCAAAGTGTTCAGAAATTGCAAAGGGATTCTCACACTGGAAACTAGAACAGTCTCCCTTAGAAAGGAGCCAGACGATTCCCTATATCGGAACTTCAGAGCTGCTTTCTGTGCTTGTAGGTGTGCCTGCTGGGCTCTTGTTTTGACTATGCTGAAGCGAGTCGCGCTGAACTTCACTCAGTCCTGTACCAGACCTGCCCCCCCCGGCCCCCTCCACTGTCGCTGTCATCTGCCACACCATCCTTGTCTGGTTTCCAGGAATGACTCATACCGTCGATAGGGTGTTGAGCTGCAGATGTGCAACGATATTTTTATATTACTTCTATTAGTGCTAACCGCTAAGTAAATAAATGCTTTGTTTTGTCGACCAAGCAAAAGCAGCGCACATCGTGCCTGTACCGGAAACAGCAGGGCTGGAAATAGCCATGGTGGTCACAGACCTGTAATAATGTAGGAAAGTGCTTGATGTCCTGCTGTTTCATGTACAATAGACTGTATCCTCTTCCTTGTTCTTGGTCTTCCAGGTTCAGATGCCTTTTACAACAAACCCATAGCGATGGAAGACCTGATCTCCTACAGTTTCCAGGTGGCCCGAGGGATGGAGTTCTTAGCATCGCGAAAGGTTAGACTCCGGTTTCTGCAGCTGATCTTGACAGATGTGGAGAGCAGGGTGCACTTGGCACTGCGCCGGGGCTACAGGGAGGGGCCCATTTTTACCTAGCACGAGCCATGAATTATGATATCTTTGCGCGTATTACAATTCGGTTTGTTTGCATCCTCCAGAATTACCCCCTTCGTAACAATGCCAGTGAGCTGTTTCGAGCACGCCGTCCTTTATTGTGCAGGCCTGACGAGGAGTGATGGGCCATATTAATGAATGGAAATGAGTCTGACTTTCTGTGGTCAGATTGTGTAAGCCAGATTTGCGTGTGTTAAATACAATATACAGGCTTCTCATGTCTGAAATTTCAAGACAAAAGTGAAATTCAGTCGTAAATATAACAACTTCTTTTACCGTCTCACATTTTCTGCTAGCATGAGTGTTCCCTGTTGAGTGAAGATGGGAACGTTTAGTTGACAAAGGGCTTCAGTTTTTTTTTTTTGCCATATGTTAATAACATCTTCCCAAATGGGAAATCAGCTAAGTTACCGTCTCCTTCAGGAAATGTGAAATTTTTAATAACCATGTGACAGTTACACATCGAGGTCGGTTCGTTCAGAGGAATTCTTGACTGGCAGGGACATCACACACCTGAAAAAGGTACTTTACCCAGAGTGCTTTAGCACATCCAATTGAATGAATTGGTAACTTGTATGTAAAACAAATTGACAAAAAGATGATAATCATCATAGGTCTACCTTCTAGCTTCCATTGGAAAAAGCTCTACAAGCTGTGGAAGATACAGTGCAATGCAGGTCTTGGCAAGATGGCAAGCACAGTATGTTAAGATTTAAAAGACTGAAAAGCAGGGCTGGTCTCCTTGTAGGGAAGTAATGTCAGTGCACAAGGTTAAAGGGTTAATCCCAGTCTTTGCTGGTCAAGGAAAAGAACACTATACATTAAGGACAGGACCGGTGGGCTCTGAATAGGATCAAAGGTAAACTCTCTTAATTCAAAGGCATTCCTGCTTATCACCATGTGCTCAAAATGGTGGCCTGTCAGAGTGTTCTGTGATGTTTTCCGCACTGACCAGCCTCTTCCCCACCCCTGGCCAGCTCACTGCCCCTTCTGGATGTTTAGACTGGATCGCCAGAATCAAGGGAACATCTTTTTGTTGTTTGTGATTGTTGGGTCTGAGGAACTCGCACAGACTTCCTGTTCAACTCAGCCCACTTCCCCCACTGAAATTTACAATGAGGAACTTTTTTTTTTTTACAGTGCAGAATAAAGCATGTTACATTAAAGAGGTCCCCTGAGTAAATACTGATATTGGGAATTATGAGCTTCATTCTCATTTTGACTTTGTTTTCTTTTCTCCTTACTTTTAATTCCAGTGCATCCACCGAGACCTGGCCGCCAGGAATATCCTCCTCTCAGAGAACAATGTGGTCAAGATCTGTGACTTTGGTTTGGCCAGAGATATTTATAAAGACCCAGATTACGTCAGGAAGGGAGACGTAAGTGCTGGTGCTCTGGTTAGATCTACCTGATGGTAAAATGTCTTCCCTCCATTTTGATTTCAGGAAGATCTAAGCATACCATACTGTACCTTAGTTATCCTTCTGAAAATAAGGGAAATGTCCCAAATTTGTAAATTGCACTAATAACGAATAATCCTTTTCCCTTCCCCCCAGAAAAGCAATGTCATCAAACCACACACATAGTTTAAACTGATCACGTCATAAATGAGTTAACTCAATGGGATATCAGGGAATTGGGTTTTTGTCACTTATTCTACTGTTTCGATCTACAAGGTAGATATGAATCCCTTCGTTTCTGTTTAAAAAGTTCCTCTTCCGCCAGTGCAAACAGGCACTAGCTGTCCTGGCTGAGCTCTATGACTGAGGTGTTGCCAGCTCGAACCCGGGTCGCGTTGTTGGCTGCCCGTTTCTGCTCAAGTGATTTTTGTGGGGAGCGCTGGTGCACGTGGCTGCCTGGGGCACTTGCAGAAGACTGATGGCAACCTGACTGCGTGACTCTACACCCATCGGGACCTGTGACCCCACTCTCAGCCCTTCCTGTGGGCTCCTCCTGACCTGCCAGCATTCCTGCAGGACCCGGCACACCCTGGTGTCGCTTGTGTGACAGGGGCGTCCTCGTAAGCCGGGAATGTGGCGTGTAAGCCAAGGGCCTCACCAGCCACTGTTGAGCAGGCACGTGTCCAGACTCACCGAGAGGATTGGGACAGACTCCCACAAGACTGCATCAGCTGCCTGACAGTGTGCATTGCTTCCAGTGGGGAACACTCACTCTTACTCAATCCTGTTGCTGACAAGTGTGGATCAGCAGAACGAATTTACCTGTGTGATGCTTGATCCGCCTGTATTGGATAAAGCGCTGAGCGAAAATGGTGGATGGAGTTCTGATCAATAACATACCAGTGCACCTTGTGACAAAAAAAAAGCTATTTTCTTGGCAGCCTGGTGAATGAGTTACAGTTAGAAGATGTGTTTTCTTTCGGTGCTCAGTGCAAACGGGAGCTGGGTCATTTGCAGGGAATGTTATCTTGTGTTTCAAATTAGACAGACTTCTACCGGATTCAGAGTTCAGAAAGAAGACTGTTCTTCAGATCAATAAATAAACTAGTATTTCTCATGTCCCTGAAGACGTGCAAAATGTTCTAATTGGAGCTTCATATGTTTCAGATGTTATTTTGCAGTATAATTACAGGAGTTTGTTTGGCGGAGAGAGCTTGTTCTATTGTCACGAAACATTGGGCTTCCCTGCAGCCTAAATTCTAGTTTTGTGTCCAACGCCCAGGCCCGGCTCCCTCTCAAGTGGATGTCTCCTGAGTCCATCTTCGACAAGGTCTACACTACCCAGAGTGATGTGTGGTCTTATGGGGTGCTGCTGTGGGAGATCTTCTCTCTTGGTGGGTATAAGCTTCCAAATGTTTCACATAACATTAAAATGCACACACTTGAGAATGCAGAAACAGCAATAACCCTTTAAACCGGAGCACGATCATTAAAGATCTGCAAAGTTAACACAGGAAGACAAGAAACTGACTAACATGGTTGTCAGGCCAAACTTTCTTAAAGCCATTTCTAATGAAGGTCACCTGAATGATGCTTAAGTATTCCACACTAATTATAAACCATTACGTTGTTTATATGACTAAGGCTTTTATATATACCGCTAGTCAATTATCTAATCATTCTGTAGATCAGTCTCAATAGAATTGCTTGCTGGCTGTCATGTGGTTTTGGACTGTAAACCCGGGTGATCTTCAAGCCTGTGATCACCACAGATGGTGTTCACTTTTCTTTGTGCTGGAACAGTCACCCCCAGGTTTTGACACCGACACTGAGTTTTCATGACACTTTCTTACAAAAACACAGTTTTCTCCATGTTTTCTACAAAGAAAAGGCAAAAGTTTTGATTTCTACATTTAAAATAGATGAAGTGTAGAAAAGGCTCGTGGATATGTCATTCTCGAGACAGTTTTGGGACAAGAAGTTGAAAATGTGTTAGGAGGTGGCGACATGGTGGTGTGGTGTCCCATAGTGTTAGGATCCAGAGTTCACATC